GTAAGCCTCTCGGCTCAGGAAAGGTCAGGCTAGTACAGTTGCCTTTTTCCTTTCTTGCCATGGCAGTTGTCAGCGCCTGAGCAGTCCCGGTCCCAAGTCCGGGAGGGAGTATTAGATTTACAGCTCTCTAACATCTCCCAGAGGTGAGGGTTGTCGGTATTGCGAAGCCGACAGGAGCCGTACTCAACATGAGTGCTGCGAAACAGCCTAGTGGTTCGACCAAGCATCAGCCCGTTCCTAAAGGGAGGGGTAAACGCTCTTATCAAAGGGCAGCACGTAAAGCTCTGCTTGAAGGTAGTGCGGTCTACAAGGGAAGGACGATGTCGTCAACAGAGCTTGGAGTTGCTCCGGCACATGTAAAGCCCACCAATCCCGGCAGAAGGACTCGGCCTTCAAAATTTACAGAAGATAAGAATCTCAGCAATCTATCCTGGAACGCAGGATCTCTCACAACAGCAGTTTGGGAAGAGTTACTCTCCGTACTGCAAAGTGCCGCATTTCAGGATGTGAAGCTGGTAGCAATCCAGGAAACGCACTGGAGGGGCTCTTGGCAATTCAGCAAGTCAGGTTGGCACGTGATCAGCTCTGGTTCCACAGGGGAGAAGGGAGCGGGGGTCCTCATAATGGTGCACTCCACGCTGTGCAAGTCACAGGATCTTCGCTACAACGAGGTTGTTCCAGGAAGAGTTCTCCAGGTCCGGGTGCCGAGTAACGGCATCTCACTGGACGTCTTCAGCTGCTATCAATACGTTTGGCGCTCTAAGGAGACAGTCGCTCAGAATAAGGAAACCCGGAAGCAGACCCTTCACTCCCTAAGTAAGTCCATCCGAGCTGTTCCCAATCGCAACACTCTCCTTGTGCTAGGAGCTTTTAACTCCTCGCTCAAAACCGACAACAAACACGTAGGGCCATGCACGATCCAGGCTTGCAGACTCGGGCATCGCGGATCTAAGGATCTCCAGACCCTACTGTCGGAGCACCAGCTAGTCGCAACCAACACTTGGGGAGTGCATAGACCAGCCACCCCCGAACAAGGCAACTCTGTTTCACAGATTGACTTCTCGTTTGTCAGGATTGCACAGTCCCAAGGCCCCGCCAGGTTTTGCCGGCCACTAAGGACCTTCCCAGTTGCATCCTGGAGGGATGGTAGTAGGCATTTCCCTCTTCTTGGTAAACTGAGGCACAGCAGGAGATACTCCGCCCAAGCCTCAAAACCCTATGACCAGCAGGCAATGGAGGACTGCTACAGACACCGTTCCCCGAAAATACAGGCATTTGCCAGGGAGGTAGACTCCCTCCTTCAGGATCATCCCCAAACCTGGCAGAGTCTCCATCAAGCAATGACCTCAGCCCTCACGACTCACTTTCCCAAGAAATAAATAGATCCCCTACTAAATAAAGTCGAAGTCAGCACAAGAGCAATCTCTCAGCTGGAAGTAGCGACTCTGCGGTGCGCCGCACTCCCGCTATAGCATCAAGTCTTAGCGAGGTCTGTCCCGAGCCTGCAGGGATGTCCCTACGTGTTCCGTGCGGGGCACGTTTTTCCCCCAGAAGTGCCAGGCAGAGGTACAAAGCCGGCCAAGCGGAGCGGCGGGGGGGCAGGGAATCGATGAACAACTCCGCAGGGCAGAGCTTAAGTCCAAGCAGGACGGGAGTCATTCCCTTTACAAGGTAATCAAGCGCTTCAGGTCGGGGAGGCCCCAGTAAAGAGTTCAGCTTCGTGATTCTGAGGGTCGCTTCCTTACTGCCAAGGAAGAAAGAAGACAATTAGAGGAATATTCCCTAGACCTGTTTGGAGCAGGGGGTGACTTCCCGCTTTCAGGGATACAAGGCAGCCTGCACATCACTGAGCAAGAAGTGCAAGAACAGCTTGGCACAATAAAGCTGGGCAAGGCGGTTCCTAAAGAGAGTCCTCCCGCAGTAGCCTGGCGCTCCCTAGGTCCCCAAGCAATCCGGCTAATCTCGGACGCCCTTAATAGGGAAGTCACTGCAGGAAGGCTCTCGGACAGTGTCACCTCGTCACAGATCTCCTGGCTCCCAAAGCCTCCCAAGAAGCCAGACAAACCAACCTCACTCCGTGCGATCGGGGTGATAGCACCTGATGGTAAGGTTACAGCCGGCTCGTGAGGAGGAGAACCTCAGCTGTCACCCCTCCACTCAGCATTACCGGCGGTCTCTCAGTTCTCTTTGTCCCAGGCGGGGTCACAGTAGGACTGCTCCTGCAAGGCCCTCCCATTTGACCAGTGCCCGGTTCAGACAGCCGCCCTACCACCAGGGTCTGCCAGGTACGGGGACAACAGGGGACTTCGATCTCAGAGGCGTCTCTCACCATGACGGGACGTGTCGCAGCTTTTTGACCCTGTCACATAGGCTGCGACTCAAGCGAGGCCCCTGGAAGTCCGCACAAGCAGATCCTCTTCTGATAGAGGTGTTAGGCCATCTCCACATCAAAGCCTTGTACAAGATGACAGCCAGCGATCAGAGCTTTGAGATAGCCACACGCAGGGGAATCAAGCAGGGATGTAAGCTAGCACCCTCTTTATTCGCCTTTGCATCAGGGCTTCTCTTTAGGAAGCTCTCTGGGAAAATCAGCCCAGCAGAACTAGTGAAGCTCCTCACAATGTACGCTGACGATAGCTTGATCCAGTCGCATTTCGACTCTGTGGCCGGCCGGCCTCATGACAGCACTAGGGTACTGCGACATGCTTCTGGATCAGCTGGTAGAGCTTGGGTTCAAGGTCAATCCGTCCAAGTCAGCAATTCTGCTACAGCTGCAAGGGGGCTCAGCCTCGACCATTAGGAAGAAACTCTTTCGCCAGGTCGAGGGAGAGAAGTATGTTGAACTCCCCTCGGGCAGGCTGATATCGCTGCGCTATCAGGTTCCATACTTGGGGGTCATTCTTTCTTATCACGACTATGAAATGAAGACTCTCAAACATCGGCTGTCATCCAGTAAGCTTGCAATGTCAGAAGTAGCCCATGCAGTTCGGAACCACCGAGTCTTATCAGACAGACGTCGTCTGTCGATTTGGACAATAACTGCGTGGGCCTCTGCTCTGTATGCACTTCACGTGGTGGGGATGACACAGCAGGGATTGCAAAAGCTCCATTCAGACATGATGTACCAACTCAGATTCGTCCTGCGGAGTTACTCCCAGGAAACGAAGGAGTCAAACCAGGAGTTACTCCGGAGATTACGGATTCCTCACGTGAAGGAGCAGCTGCAAAAGAGAATGACCCAGTTTATAAAGAGACAGCAACACTCCGATCCCCAGCTTCTCCCACACTATAAGTTGCGTGCTGAGGCAGTTAGCCAGGCATTGGAAGGCCTCTCCACAGACTTTTCCTCGCACCATGTGGAGGATAGGCTTCTGACCTGCGGTGAATGTGGAGCATGTCTCTCTGGCACCGGAGCACTTCGTCGCCACCTGCAGAAGGCTCACCCAGATTCTCAGCAGTGCCTGAAAGGACCCAAATTTGATCCTATTTTGCATTCAATGCCAGGGTCAGCAACTTGCATCGCGTGTCGAGCAACATTCCGAACAGTGTTTTATCTGCGCAAACATGTCGAAGCATCTACCTGCCCTAGGGTAGAGTTTTTGCTTAGACAGCAGGAAGAGCTACCCTTAGAAGCACAGAACCGGATCTCACTCGTAGAAAGTCTACAGTCTGATGCCCAGGACAATCCAGAAGGCGCCGCTCGAATCCGGCGTTCCATGATTACCTGATGGAACACTGCGCACTCTGTGGTCAGGTCCTCGTAGGCCAGAAAGGAGCCAAACAGCATTTAAACAAGCAGCATCCTGAGGTGATGGCCAAGCTGGAGAAAACTCTCCAACCAAGACTCAATCAATTCAAGGTCTTCTTTCACAAAGGAGATAGCTGTCGATACTGCAAACTTCGTGTGGATGCCCCGGGTAGACATGCTCAGCAGTGCGTTCCATTACTGCAGGTGCACGTGCTGCAGGAGGTAGCGCGCCAGCAGCTCAGCAAGCAGCCCCGCGAATATACTCGAGCAAAGTCCACGGCATCGGCGAAGACAGTCACAAAGAAGCCTTCAGATTCAACGCCAGGAATTCCTCACCCCGTGTTTAGACTGGAAGGCTTTCTCCTGCTAGCCAATACTCGCAATCACTGCTATGCCAACTCAGGTCTGCAGTGTCTCCACTGGCTATCAGATCCTTCAGAGGCGACTTTTCAAGAGGCATCCCGGATCAGTCAGCTTGCGAGAATAACCCCTGAACACAGAGTCTTCGCGGAGCTCACCATGGGCTGGCTCTTTGACGGAGGCCAGCACGACTCTGCTGAGTTCCTGCAGCAAGTGTTTCGGAATCTCTCTGCATCAAGATTTGGACAGTGGGAAACTAGAGCCTCAGTACCGGAAGGCGTGATAGTGGACGAAGGAGGGGGCTCTCCCATTCATCTTGCCACGGCGATCAAGACCAACCTACAGGACATGCTAGTGGCATGGTCGTCTCAGGAGCGCTCATGTGCTCTCATAGAAGCTGCACAGCAGGTGTGCTTAGCCTTGCCGAGATTCGCAGGTGAAGCTAAGGATCACACTCGCATCACAAGCCCACAGCAAGTCCAGATCCCTGTCTTCCTGGACCACACATCCCGAGTTTCGTTCTGTACCTACACAGTAGAGGCAGTGATCATTCACCTAGGAATGGAGTCCACTAGTGGTCATTACCGTGCAGCTGTACGTACAGCAGATGCCTGGTATGTTGGTGATGACTCCCACCCCCCTAGTCCCTTTACCCTCGAAGATCCCCTGCTTCAAGAAAATAGCTACGTCATCTTCCTAGCTCGCAGCGCCGTCTCTCACGAGCCCCAGGACGTAGCTAATCTCCCGAGTAATGTCTCTGCAAGAGCTCTTCCAGCGAGCCTTGCGGAGATGCTCCCTTAGGAGGAGACTCTCCCCAACAATCGGAGGAGTTTCTCCCCTTGCCATGTGTTTACAGCTGGTGGAGTTTCTCCCCAGGGGTTTTTTAAACAGTAGGAGAACATCAGGTGGAGTTTCTCCCCTCGGGTGGAGTCACTCCCCCTCCTCGTCCTTCCAAAAAGAGAAGCACTGGGCAAAGCGACGGTGGAGATACTCCCCCAGCAGCAAAGGCCAAGAGTGGAGATCCTCCCTCAGGGGACCCCTCTCCACAACAGGCCACCGATGCCGCATAAGACTCTGAAGACACATTCGTGCCAGAGTCTGCAGCTCGAGTCACTGAAGACACGTCCGATTCCGACTTCATTGCTTGCAGCCTTGAGGGGCGGAGCGTGTGCGAGTGCTGTGTTAAGGCACGGATCGTCATGAAGTGACCGCGCAAGTAGCAAGCAGAGCAGCAGGTCGATCCCTCGCAAAGCGTGGACGTTAAGTTTCACCTCAGACAGTATCCTCCCGCTGCTTGTGAATGAAATGTTGTTGTTGTTGTTGTTGTTGTTGTTGTTGTTGTTGTTGTTGTTGTTGTTGTTGTTGTTGTTGTTGTTGTTGTTGTTGTTGTTGTTGTTGTTGTTGTTGTTGTTGTTGTTGTTGTTGTTGTTGTTGTTGTTGTTGTTGTTTTTTTTGTTTTTGTTGTTGTTGTTGTTGTTGTTGTGGTTGTTGTTGTTGTTGTTGTTGTTGTTGTTGTTGTTGTTGTTGTTGTTGTTGTTGTTGTTGTTGTTGTTGTTGTTGTTGTTGTTGTTGTTGTTGTTGTTGTTTTTTTGTTGTTGTTGTTGTTGTTGTTGTTGTTGGTTGTTGTTGGTGTTGTTGTGTTGGTGTTGTTGTTGTTGTTGTTGTTTGTTGGTTGTGTTGTTGTTGTGTTGTTTGTTGTTGGTTGTTTTGTTTTGTAGTTGTTTGTTGTGTTGTTGTTGTTGTGGTTGTTGGTGTTGTTGTTGTTGTGTTGTTGTTGTTGTTGTTGTTGTTGTTGTGTGTTTTGTGTTGTGGTTGTTGGTGTTGTTGTTGTTGTTTGGTGTTGTTGGTTGGTGTTGTTGTTGTGGTTTGTTGGGGTTGTTGTTGTTTGTTGGTGTTTGTTGTTGTGTTGTTGTTGTTGTTTGTTGTGTGTGTGGGTGTGGGGGGTGGGGGGGGGGGGTTGTTGTTGTTGTTGTTTTTCTTGTTGTTGTTGTTGTTGTTGTTGTTGATTGTTGTTGTTGTTGTTGTTGTTGTTGTTGTTGTTGTTGTTGTTGTTGTTGTTTGTTGTTGTTTGTTGTTGTTTGTTGTTGTTTGTTGTTGTTTGTTGTTGTTTGTTGTTGTTTGTTGTTGTTTGTTGTTGTTTGTTGTTGTTTGTTGTTGTTTGTTGTTTGTTGTTTGTTGTTTGTTGTTGGTTTTTTTTTGTTTGTTGTTGTTGTTGTTGTTGTTGTTGTTGTTGTTGTTGTTGTTGTTGTTGTTGTTGTTGTTGTTGTTGTTGTTGTTGTTGTTGTTGTTGTTGTATGTGTCTGGTCAGCTGCATGTTGGTCCATTCCGCCCTGTATGCACATGGAACTGTGAACATATTAAGAGAACGGTACCGTGCTTGAACGGATGTGTTTGGTAGTGCACGCAACGGACCCCCGCCGAAGCCACCCGGTTCGAGCGGGGATCCGTTTCCGCAGTTTTTCTGTAGATCTCCTGGACTCCCGCTCCCGGATGGCTCGAGGCCAGAATTGACTTTACTCTGCCTCCGCTCCCCTGCTTGTTCTACCCTTTATCAAAAGGTAGACGACGGGGACGTTACCGCAGACGTCGTTCTTCTTCGTCGTCTGGTAGACGGGACACGTCAGGCCGGTTCTGCCGTCTGTCTGTTCCCTTTTCCTAGTTTGGCTTATTCGCCAAGCTCCTCTGGTTCTCGTGACCGTCGCCGTCGCTGGCTCAGTGCTTTCGCTGACCGCACGGTTGGTGCATCTTTTGCCTTTCAGGTCCGAGCTCTTCCCCATCGGCCTCGCGCAGCCGGCTCAGTTTCTGACCGCTGCCGCCTGCCGCTTATTCTGGTGCACCTGTCTTTCAGGTCACCGGTCCCGATCTCCCTCGTTACGAATATTGGACCCTCCGGCGCTGCAGGACTGTTTGCTCCTCTGCGTCAGGTGTGTCTGTACTTGCAGTTGTTTCTGCTCTTGAGGGACGTGCTCTCTGCCGCAGCCGTCTTGTTCACGTCTGCTGTGCCCCCTTCTCGTCCTTTTCTTCTGTCCGCCTGCGATGACGGCTTCATCTGCTCCCGTTGCGGACCGCCGGCCCTGCGAGCCCTCTCCGTCGGAATCCACCTCGGAATCGCGCCCTGTGCGTCCTACAGAGGGCTCCGCTCCCGGTCCGGCTCCGCTGCATTCGCCCACTTCTGCCGCTGACGCCGCTTCCGAGACTGACGTCCCGGTTGCGCCGGCAGAAGCTGACTCTGCCATGCCACCGGCACGGTTCCTGGAACCTGAGGCGGGGACTTTGGCTTTTTCTGACGATCCCAAAGCCTCTGCCCCGTCTCCGCCGTCGGCAGCATGGTCTGACATCGTGGCGTTCCTTGACAATCCGGAACCGGCCATGGCAGCTGCTTTTTCGTCCCTGCCGACTTCTGATCTGCTCCGTCTCAGTGCGGGTACTCTGTCCGCCATTTCCGCCAGGCTCGCCTGGTACGACGGCAGCTCAGCACCCGCTCTGCCTCCGGTTGTTCCGACCCCGCCTCCTTCTGTTGGAGGCCGCACGGGTCCGCCGGTGAAGGAGCCGCCCGCCAAGGGCGCAAGTCAGGCCGCAGGTCCGATTCCGCAGCAAAAAGCCTGCCCTCTGCCACACCCCAAGCTCAACGCCCCGCCGGCCGCTCCCGTCCGCGCCAACCCCCTGGCGGACGTTGCTTCCGGAAGCGGTGCCCCTCCTCCGGCACCGGAGGTAACCGCACCCGCCGCTGCACCTGAGTCGACCGGTCCGCCCGCCACCCGCGGCCGCGCATTTGAGGAGGCGTGTTGGTCCGCGCAGCTCGACCCACGCAGTCTGGCTCCGGACACCTACCGGTGGGTCGATGTCACTCCGCGTCTGCCACCGCGGCTCAGCACTGCTCCCTGGAGTTCCAGGGAAGGTTGGCAGATCCGCGTGAACACTCCGACGACGCCGGAGTATGGCACAGGCCAGCCTGGTGGCCTTTTCCGGATCTGTTTTGTCTGCGTCCGGACGAGCACCCGGACTACATCAGTCCGCTGGCCCCGGCAGAGCCCTTGCAGCACCTCGCTCTGCGAGGTTACTGCACCCACATCTGCACCCGCTTGGCCACAAATTCCGAGGGCAACAGATGCCTTGGAATGTGTCTGCGTCCGATCATGGTGGGCGAAAGGTCCGGCCATGATGGCCACACCTGCTACCACTGCCTCACAGGTAGGTGAGCCATCTGTCCGTCTCCGCATCCGCCCTGCGTCCGACGCCGTAAGTGCTCGGCTGCTGGGCTGCGTCTGGTTTCGGCCTCCCCCGGTCCTTTTTTTTCAAGTATCCTTAATCGAGGGCGAGCCTTCGGCTCCCCTCTTCCTTCTGCGGCTGAATCTTCATGATTCTGCCCGCCGTCTTCTCTTCTGCAGCGGTCGGCATCCGCCCGTCCGCCTGCCGACCCTTACTTGCTGCCTCGCAGTCTCTTTAAAACAGTGCGTATGTTGCAGTCCTTTGCTTTTGCAGTTCTTTGTTTCCTTCTACACCGCTGCTTGTGTCTTGCTCAGGACCCCGACTTGTTGCTCTTCGAGACAGGCCACGGGCTTTCACTTCTGACGTGTTTTCTGTTTGCACCTGACAGGTTCACCTGGTCTTCTTCATTCGGCGGCTTCCGCGCAGAACGGGGTGGCTGACCCAGGTCTCTCCGCCCTCGGCGTTGGCTCTTCTCCGTTTCCGGACATTGTGCACTCTCCGCAGGGCATCCGTCCCAGCGGACCGCCCTCCTTCTCTGCGCCTGCCTCTCCGCTGAGCCTGCTGGCTACCCCCAGCCCGCGACCACACTTGCTCACAACTCCACCTTCTGCGTCCACCTCTCATGTTGGAATTCCCTCTTGTCCGGGCGCCAGCACCAGTGGCACGACCTGGTCAATTGTTTCCCCGATCTGCTCTGCCTCTGCTTCGGCTTCTCTGGTTCGGCCTCCATCACGCTGGGCTTCAGGCACCTTGTCGGCGTCCTACAGACCTCGTGCGCTCATGCCACCGGCATCCAGTCCGGCGCCCGCTCCGGCGCTTTCTCCGCCTCTTCGCGGGTTTCCGGCCCCCCCGTCCAGACCTGTTCCGACCCCGCCTCCGTCACGACGCCATTTGAATAATTTTGTGCTCGGTCTTGCACCCAGACCTGCACTCATTGCCTCTTCTCCCCTGCCTGCGGCGTCTGACTTCACAGGGCTTGCATCTACTTCCTTTATGCGCCTGCCTGCCTCTCCGGTTGGCCCGGTGGCCGGTTCCGCCGAACTGGCTTCTGAAGAGATGCGTCTTCTTCTTCTCCGCTGGACGGAGCTTTTAAAAGCAATGGGGTCCGAGAGCGCCCTTTTCGTGGAGGCGTCTGCATCCGCCCACATGGACTTTCATGTGCAGCGGGTGGCTGCCAGGTTTGCCCCTTCCACGTTGCAGCGTTACTTCGATGCCTGGCTCAACTGGGTTTCCTTCTGCCGTCTGGCCGGGGCCAATCATTTGTCCCCGCCTCCTGGTCTGCTCCCGGACTGGTTGCGCAGCCAAGCCAGTAAACAGGGTCTGTCAACCATGCAGCTCAAGGCTCTATCGTGGTTCTGCAAGACGGCGGGTCTGCCGGCCCTTAAAGCGGCTCTGCTGTCCCCGGTCTGTCAGGCTTTCTCCGTTGCTTCCTCCCCTACGGAGCACCGAGAAAGCCTGCCACTGAGCTTGAGCTTTGTTGTGTGGCTCGAATCCCTGGTTCTGGACCCGTCCGCATCCGCGGCCGAAATTCTCAGGGTCGGTTACCTTCTGCTCTGTATCTGGGGCAGCTTACGTTGGGGCGATGCTCTCTGGGTCCCTCCTCGTCGTCTTCATTACCAGCCGCAAGCGTCTGCGCTGGTGGGTACGTGCCTTCGTACTAAAACCACTAAAAGAGGAATGCCATTTGGCATCCTCACTTCTGGCCTTCTTGGCTCCGCCTCCGCGTCTTGGGCACTCCGTTTCCTCAGCACCCTATCTCAGTGTGCTGCGGATACCATGCGGATCTCCCCGGGTCGCTCCCTGGACTTTGTTCCTGCCACCCTGTCCGGGTCCGAATCTCGTCCGGTCATGGGTGGTCCCCTCAAACGGGATAAGATGGTTCTGTGGCTTCGGGGCTTACTTCTCCGTCACTGGCATCTTCATTCAACGTCCCCGCCTCCGGCTGCCTTTGGCCTGGTGGCGGCACATTCTCTGAAATGTACGTTACTGGCATGGGGTCGCCAGCTCGGGTCTGAGTCTGAACTGCGTCGCATCCAAGGTCACCACCGACTTTCTGGCTCCGACCAATCAGTCTCCCTTTACTCCAGGGACGATATTATCCCCATGCTTCGCTTTCAGCGACAGCTGGTGCTGGCCTTGCGCTCCGGATTCCGGCCCTTGCAACCGGTTGCGCGCGGCCTGGACGAGCCTCTGCCGGATTTTCCGGTCACCTTGCCTGCTCCAACTGGCCTTCCGTCGGATTTTTCACTCACGCCCGACTGCTTCCCGGAGGCTGCCCCACTGCCGGCTGCTCTTCCTTCCCCTCCTCCCCTCGCCGCGCCGGACCCCGCCTCCGTCAAGGAAGAAGACCTTGTTTCTCTTTCTTCCGAATCCAGTGAAGCTCCCTCTGATGAGGAAGTTCCGGTCGTGGCCGGGGAGGCGGCGTCGTCGGACGCTTCGGCTCCGCTTCCGCCTCCCCCGTCTGCTTCCCGTCCCGACTCCCCAGGCTCACGAGGCCGAGGTTGAGCCGGAACCGTCTCCCATGGGGGAACCGCCAGTGGTCACTCCCTGGTCGTCCGCGCCCTCCTCGGCTAATTGTGGGTCGTCGGCGTTTCCTTCTGGTTCTGCCGCGATGCCTGCTTCGGCCGCTCCGCCTCGTCGCTGCAGCACTGACGGTGGTGGCCCCAGCAATCCTTATGCACTCTGGCTCAATCCGCAGGCTTCGGATGGACAGATCCTGGATTCTTTGACATACTATCCACCGGAGCTCCGAGCCCGTCTGCTGTTCTTGCTGTCTGCCCTGGAGCACCGTACTCTGGTGCCTCCTGGTCCTCCGTTTGACCCACGTATGCAGCGCATCTTGGGGTCGCCTCCGCCGCCTCCGTCGATGCCCTCCGAACCCACTATTGTGAGGCGGGGGCGTGATCGCGGCAGGGTCCTCGGCATGCACACTGTGCAGCAGCAGTCTGGCCCGCCGGACCTTTGCATGCTGCCGTGCATCAACCCGGACTGTGACCGACTCTGCGGCCGCCCCATCCGGGGCCGGGGTCACCGCACGCATGCTTGCGCCCGCTGCCACCGGTTGCACGGGTACTAGGTCACTCGAGCCGCCTGCATCGCGCCTATCAAAACAGCGTGCCTGCGTTCTGCTCGCGTCCTGTTGGCGTACTTGTCTGGGTTGTGCTCCTGTCCTGTGCTCGCCGCAGCCGTTTTTGCTCTTTCGCTTCCCCCCACTGTCCCCCCTCTTGCCTATCCGTCATGGCTGCCCGCCCGCGTCTTGATGACCCGGCGGCGCTCACGGCCCTGCTGGAACAGCTTGCTGCTTCTGCGGCCGTGCGTTCAGCCCTGGCGGCGAAGGGGTACTCTTCTCTTAGTTCTTTGGCCTACGCTCTTGCGGATCCCTCTGATCCCGACGAGGTCAAGGTCTTCATCCGCACGCTGCTCGGTCTGTCTGACGACACCGCCGCAGCGGGTCTCGTGTCTGCAGACGCGGCCTGTGTCCGTCGCCTGCTGTCCGAGGCTGCTCTGGCGGCACCCCCTCGTGTCACCCCGGGACTTTCCACTCTGGGTCTGCCGGTGCCGCCTGCCTCGTCTTCCGTGTCTGCCAAGCTCCAGCCCACAGACTTCACACATTTGAAGAAGGACTTCATGGCTAAGTACCCGGGGAACTCCTCACCCCGTCATCCACCCCGTCTCTCGAGTTCCTGTCTCTGCTGAAGCAGCACAGTGACTCTGCCGCTTCCCTCTGGGTCCCGTGGCGCTTGCGCACGTGCCTGGCTGATGCCGCCCGCTGGGAAGAGACGCGCAAACCTCGCAATGACCGCTCCTTCATCCGTCAGCTGCTGGATGATGTACCTGAGCCCCCTGGCCCGACGGTCCCGGTTAACATGCAGGGTCATCCGGAGCCGGTCCTGCGTCGTGCACTGTCTCTGCTGGCCACCGCGTTAGCCATGTTAGATCTCGTGCACCTTGCCACCATAAAACAATTTCACGAAAAATTTCTGTTTCTGGCTCTGGCGGGTCCCCTCGATCAGGCACTTCGCTCTCCCACCCTTCAGGAGATTCTCCACGCGGACAGGGCGGTCTGGTCCTCCGTCTACGAGCTCACGAGTGATCATGGCTGGAGCCTCCCCGATGCACTGAGCGAAATCGCTTTCTGTCGCGGTGAAATGTCGAATCTACTCCAGCCCCGTCCACGTCCACCGCGCATTCCGCCTCCGCCCTCCGCCGACGGTAAACCTGGTAAGGGCCTGGGCAGGAAGCGTCAACTGACCGACGACTCGTCCGGTCACGATTCCGCTGCGGCTAAAGCCAAGGCTAAAGCAGCAGCGGCCAAGGCCAAGACTGCTGCCAATCCGCCTCCGAAGGGCTGGGACCCGTCCTGGTGCAAGACCATCGGGGAGAAAGAGGCCTGCGTGCGTTTCGCAGTCGGCTTTGTGCATGGCTGCCCGGTCCCGCTTCCTTCCGGCAAAGCCTGCGGTCAGCCGCACTCCGCTCTGGACCATGGCAAGACACCTCACTGAGCTTCCACGGTTCTCACCTCCGTTGATCCTACTACCGCTCCGGCGGCACGGTCTGCGGAGGCCCCCGCTGCTGTTAGCAGTCTCTCTCCTGCCGCACCCCTCCCTCCTGCGGTCGACGCGCCTCGTCCTTCTCCGCCTCTGCCTCTGTCTTTCCTTAGCTCGGCACCCTCAGCGGTCTCGCCCGTTTCTGCTCCTGCTTTGCGTCCTTCTGGGTCGAACGGTTCGCCTGCTGTCCTGGGCCCACCGTCGCCGTCGACCGCTAACTCTGCGGCGCCCTCTATTCCTGCTGCCAGATTGTTCCTGGACCTTTTTTCCGGATCGTCTTCCCCGGTGACGACCGCACTTCAGGCGCTCGGGAAGGCTTGCTTTGAACCTGTCGACAAGCTGGCTGCGTCGGCAGCGGACTTGCTGGATGATACCTGCTTCGACCACCTCTGTCGACTTTGCTCCTCCGGTTTGGTGGGTGCTGCCGGTGCTGCTCCGCCTTGTGCAGCCTTTTCAAGGTCCCGCTTGCGTCCTGGTGGTCCTTCTCCGGTGCGCACTCTCCACCATCCTACTGGCATTCTCTCTCCCTCTGCCTCGCAGGCCGAAGAGCTCAGGGTTTCCTCTGTGCTGCATCAACGAACGCGCCATCTTCTCTGTCTGGTGGACTCCCGAGGCGGTCTCATCTGGGTTGAGAATCCCTCCTCCTCCCTGCTGTGGTTGGATCCGGACGTTGTTTCATGGCTCCGGCTGTTCTGCCGCCACGTTGCTACGGTTGCTGGCTGCCATCATGGCCTGGACCAACACAAGGCTTGGTCATTTTGCTCTAACTCCCCGGAGGTCGCAACCCTTGCATGTGTCTGCCCTCACCCCCTAGGCTTTCACGCCAAGGTGTCCGGAAAGCGCTTGGCGGATGGATCCTTTGCCACTCGCCTTTCTGCATGCTACCCTCCGTCTTTGGCTGCAACCCTGGCATGCATGGCGGCTCCTTTCCTTTCGGATGCCTTGCCGCAGCAGCCCTACCCCCTTGCGACTTGGCTGCAGCTGTTGCCGTGTCGCTTTACTTGGCCTGCTCGGTCCCACAGGGTTGAGGACGGTGCTGGTACTTGCAGTACTGCCTCCCCGAGGCCAGTTTCCTCTGACCCGCTGTCCTCTCTGAGGGCAGCCTGGACCAAACGACTGCTTGCGTCCGGTCTTGCCCAACGCATTGCTGCTTCCCTGAACTCCGGGTCTAAGTCTCCTCCATTGTCTGAGGCTGAGGTTGCTCCTTTTCTGGATGACCTCCGTTCCTTCCTGCATGTGGAGGACGACACTATCTGGAAACGTCTGCTTCTGGTCCAAGAAGGTCAGCCGTTTCGGCTCAATCTCTGGCACTGTCTCTCGCTGGTTTGTGCAGACCCGGATTCGGGATACTTTGATCTTCTCCGCTCTGGCGTCCCTTTAGGCGTGCCAGAGCCTATTCCCCCGTGTCCGGTTATGCATCCTCCTCCTTCCCCTGACGCCACGGTCATCCCGCTTCGGCATTGTGACTCTGCCTGGAAATCTGCCCTTGATCACGCAGATGTGGTGGATGAGTTGCTCGAAGCTGAGCTGGCCGAAGGTTGGATCGCTCTGGTTCCGGGAGGGGATGCCGAGCTGCGCCGTCGCTACAATCGTACGGCGGTCGGCAAACTAGGAGTCGTGCTGGCTGAGGGACGTCCTCCGCGTCTGGTGGTCGACAGCTCTGTGTCTGGCGTCACGAGCAACACTGCTCTGCCCAACCGTTCTGCTAACCCCACTCTGTCGGACGTCTTCTTCTGTATGCCTCTCTCCGATTCCTCGGAACGGCTTGCCGCTTTGATACTGGATGTTGCTAAAGCGCATCGCCGTATTCTGATTCGTGCGCTTGATCGCGGCCTTCTTTGCTTCCGCCACCGTGGAAAGCTGTATCAGTGTCTCACACTAAATTTTGGAGCCCGCGTGTCATCATTTTACTGGGCCCGCGCCGCCGGTCTGTTACTCCGCCTGGTCCACCGCATTGTCCGCGTCCGCCACTCGGCTCAGATCTACGTTGACGACATCCTGGCACTCTTGGATGCCACATCGGCCCCGCTTTGGGCCTCCTTAATTGTCGTCCTTCTTCTGGTTCTGCGTGTGCCCATGTCATGGCACAATGCGGTCTCTTGCCGCGGTGACCTTCCGCTGCAGGCCCCTGATGCCCGTCGCATCTGGCTTCAGTCTTCGTCTCCGCACACCGGGATGTGTGTTCTCTCTGACTCTTCGCAGGAGGTGCTGAGACTCTGGTTGGATCTCTGCCAGTCTGGCACGGCCGTTCGCTCCTTGCTGCGACCGCCCCTCTACGTCTGTGAAGCCTTTGCTGACGCCTGCGCCACTGAGCTCTCCGCGGGACTCGGCGGCTTCGTTCGTCTACCGGACGGGCGCCAACTATTTTTTCGTCAATCTTTTGACCGTCACGAGCTTCATAGCTTCTTTTCCTGGTTCCCTGAGACCGCCTCTGCTCAGGCCTTTATCGCCAGCTGGGAACTGCTGGCACAATGCGCGCTGGTTGTCTTATTGGACGTCCTGCTGGGACCAGGGCACCTGCCCGTGCACTGCGTCTTCAAATGCGACAACTCTGCTGCCGATGCAGCGAGCTGGAAGGGTCTGTCTATGGCCAAGGGCCTTTGCTCTGTGCTCCGATCGTTTCTGCTCTGCCAGCAGGCGCGTCGCATTTCCGTCTACATTGATCACGTTCCGGGATTGTCGAATGACGTCGCAGACGCCTTAAGTCGCTCTGCTGACCCTGCGTCTCTGGGGTTCGAGATGTCCCAGGAACATTGCATCTCTTGGGACCAGTTTCCGCCTTCTCCGGATCTGTCCCTATTCCCGTCTGCGGCGGACTTTTCTGGTTTCCTATGCCCGGGTGGCTCTTGCTCTGCTTGATTCTCAGTTTGGCTGGTCCCACGGCTGTGGTCAAGCTTCCGGCTCGAGGTTTCCATTGGTTTTCCAGCCAGAGAGAATGCGGATCGACACTGCATCCGGCTCTGGTCCTGGTCCGAGTTCTGCTTCCCGACCAGGGCCACCCGAGCCCGGACTGCTTCACGCCACCGGACAAAAAGAAGCCGACGCTGCTGCCGTTCCGTAGTGTTTACCGCTACTGTACGCGCTCTAGCCTTTTTGGCGTTTAAGGAAACGGACTGTGCACTTTGAACGGTACCGTGCTTGAACGGATGTGTTTGGTAGTGCACGCAACGGACCCCCGCCGAAGCCACCCGGTTCGAGCGGGGATCCGTTTCCGCAGATTTTCCGTACCCGCCACCGTCCCCTTCTGTCCGCCTTCCCATTCTCCTCTGGCTCCCCTGGATTTGGGGATGGTTTTCCAGCCAGAGAGAATGCGGATCGACACTGCATCCGGCTCTGGTCCTGGTCCGAGTTCTGCTTCCCGACCAGGGCCACCCGAGCCCGGACTGCTTCACGCCACCGGACAAAAAGAAGCCGACGCTGCTGCCGTTCCGTAGTGTTTACCGCTACTGTACGCGCTCTAGCCTTTTTGGCGTTTAAGGAAACGGACTGTGCACTTTGAACGTGGTTGTGTCATTTCAAAGAGATTGGGGGGTTCGTCAGGTGCTCAGCGGTCTAGATGTGAGGGTTTTTGAATGCTTTTCACTTGTCCTCGAGAGCATCCGATCCTCGCATGGCTGTGAGTTGCACTTTTGAAAGCCCGTTCTGATGGCCAACGTTTCGCAAATCGATGAGCAAGGTCAGAAGCAACAGGGTGTCAGTGATCGTTGTCCATTTTGGAAACGGCCTCCAAGCAGAAACCAAGACTCGCGGCAGTACCAGTACCAGTACCGATCCAGTCCTATCAGCCCTAACTCTCCTAGCCACGCAGAGCGGGACATGAGCAGCACGTTAGCGTTTGTGTTCTTGTCCATATCACATCCAGAAACCGTCGACTGTGCTATGAATAGCGATGATAATTGTCAAGTACATGTCAAAACGTATCTGTAGATGCCTGTCAAATGGTAAAGCATGGACATCTACTACAGCCCTTTAGTCCGCAAGCTCTTTGGGGTCCAGTCTAGGGCTGAGTTGGACGAACGATTTTCGAAGGGTTTTTATCAGATTTTTGGATGGTTCCTATCGGGTGGTAGAAGGGTTGTCATGGGGCTGTTGGAAGGTTTGATATACAAAGGGCCCTTATGAGGTTCTTACAGGGCTTCAAAAGTGGGCTTATGGGGTTGCATACAGCATCCTAAGGTCTTAGTTAGAAGAGTTCTGATAGGGTTTAGGGCTCCTGAGAAGCGGCTTCAAGTTTCAACTAGCGGATAAAGCACCAGAAAGACAATCGAACCAGGAACAAAAGGCCTGTTTGAAGGTTTAATGTTTACGTGTTCGCCAGGTTGGTAGTGCTTCCGTTTTTGCGGGAGGGTGTGGAGTGTACAGATCAAGGCCAAGGTGTTGGCATCAAACCTTTTCGACTTCCGAGCAAGGCAATCGGATGTCTCATGACTGTCGCATCCACCATCACTCGCCGAGCCGGCACACTCACATGCACAGGGTTCAGGCTTCAGGCTGTGCGCCCAAATTGCAATTCCTTAAAACTTTAAAGCCCTGAACCTTTGGGCTCTTTGCAACTCACATCAGGCAGCGCGACCTAGCCGAGCTTCAGCAGACAATTGAGCAGGCGGCCCAGGCCCATGGGGAGGTTGAATTTCGGGTTTAGGGTTTTCAGGGTTTAGGGCTTAGGGTTTACGAAAAAGCAGTCAGTGGGGCCAGCAAGGTAATTTGGTTTGGGCCTCTTCGGATGAGCGGCGCGGCTTTCGGGTTTCAAGTTTCGGTGCTTGGGGTTATTCATTTTTGGGGTTTGCCGGTTTCAAGTCTGGTTTCTTTCGGGCTTAGGGTCCCGAACTTGGTGAATGCGTTGTGTCTTTGGGTCGAGTATCTTCAGCGCATGAGCCACTTTCCTCGTGTTAGATAACCGGGAGCCCATGGGCCCAGGGAGCCGAGGGGCTCGGTGCATGGGCTTGGGTTAGCCTGGACGTAAACTGCAAAGCATAATAAGGCTGAGTAGCTGTCTTCACGTCCCATTGCTTGGTCCCGAGACCTTTCAGCCTTGAAAACTGGACCCTAAACCCTAAACCCAAGTCCGAAGCCCTCCGGCGCAGGAGTACGGCAACTTGGAAAGGGCAGGCGAAGCCCTCCGGGCCGAAGTGCAGGCGAAGGGGTTGCCACAAAGTGCCTAGAGGTATGCTCAGAGACTTACAGTTGTGTGTAATCTGTAGTTTGTGTGTCAATGTCTATAACTGCATATCCATATTCTCTACATATGCCGAATACATACATACACGTATACATATACATTTACATATACATCTACATATAACGAGCAATATGTATGTGCCTGTATGTAAACATGCACACATTGGTTTGACCTTTCTTATGCTTACATGTATATAGTATTGCACATCAATACAGGCAGATACAACGAAAATAGGTTCCACCAAGTACATAAAGGCATGTGCGTACGCACTCACGGGTACATATAGACACACACACACATATGCATGCATACATGTAGGTTTACATGTGTAAACGCATATATATATATATATATATATGTATACATGTATAAACAATGTTAGACCTAGTCTGATCGTGCCAATGTTGGGTCTTAGGTTTGGCATATGTCGATTGCTAACTGCGGACATTCGAACATTTACCAGTCATCACAAAGAGTACTGGCAGTCTTGCTTACGTCTTGAAAATAGAGGTTGCGTTCGTGGTTGTATGTGTGTACATGCACAAGGGCACATATGATATAGATATTCAGACGCATACCCATGTCCATGTATCCATATACGTTCCTGTGCACATTCACAATATTACATATCTGTTTACGTGCACATATGCATATGCATGCATGCTTGCATACACACAGACATAATTACATATGTGTCGTTCAGGCAGGTCTAGGAGCTTTGGGTGTTTATTGGCTCTTACGTGTACAGGGCTGCTTTGCCACTTCCAGAACTTGCTTAGCGGTTTGGAGATGTAGCGATTTGACAACCATTCGCGGGTTCATAGAGGTACGAGTTCCGAGATGCTGAGCTTTGAATGGGTCTTATGAGTGGATTCACGCGTCAGGTGGGCCATGTTGAGAAGCAGCAGAACTTGGCCAGCATCCTCCAGTTACAGAGGACGGCTAAACGCCCGGTCCTGAGCCCTCCAATGCCTTCTAGCTTGGCCATCAAGTTCGACGGCGGGATGTCACAATGTATCCCTTGCAACCATCGAGCTGCAACTTCCCTGTCAGGCCTGGACGAGTTATCGATGGGAACCGGCCCGCCTCCGCCGGCCAACATTCAGCAGCAACACGATGAGCAATTGCAGTCTCTCGCCGTACATCCAGTGCATCTGAATGCTGGCGGGGCCCAGGGCGGACGTCGTCGCACTTCGCAAACCAAGGCTCCGTGGGAAGGTCGAAGAAATCGTCAGGCCGATTGCGTGTAGTACGACGAGATTTGCGCCTTGTTCCCCCTACGTGCGTGCTGGGTAGAGTCCAATGTTTGCAGGGTGCTTGGCGAAGCCTATCCCCAGCTCGAAAATCTGTGGACTGCCTTCCACACGTGGATGGAAGTCCCAAGCTGAGGCAGTCTGCCACTTGTTTTCGAGATGGGTTGGTGTCTAGTCCACAAGATGCTGCAATCAAGAGACATGTACATATGCGCATGCGTATATGCATAGAGCTATGCAAGCAAATATGTGTATATGTATATATATATATATAAGCAACAAGGGCAAACAAACAACTGAATATGCGTATGTATACATGCACGCATACACTAGTCGTGGAATAATATTTCCCGTGCTTGTTAAAGTGTTACCTTTCACAAATCACAAACTCGTGTAGCACAGGGTACACTGCATATTGACACGTCACATGCTAAATATTGCTTATTGTATGAAAGGTATTGCATAGAATGTGCTATTTATTGTACATTACACTGTATCTAGCATCTTACTTGGTATGTGTTTTTTGGTGTTATGCGCATTATACGCTTAAGCGTTAACATAGTATGCAAATTGTTTATGATGCAAGTATTATATATACATGTAGATATGTTGTACATCTCCTATATATTGGCTGTGATGAAATTTGGTGCAGCTTTTACATCTTATACTGTGCATGTTTTTTGTTTCAGGTTACAACACATGTATTTTCTAGTGTATACTATACAGTGTGCACCCTGCAAGATATGTATATATATATATATGTACATACATATATCTACATAGGTATAGCTATACTTGTATAGTCTACGTACATATCCGCATAGATTCACTTGTACTATACTGTGTCACATGGCGATAGGTTGTATGCTACTATATCACATCTTGTGATATGATGTGGCGTGGTATGCTTTATCGCGGTATGGCCTTACATTACCTTTTCATGACATGGTCGGTTATTGTGCCAAATGATCTGGCATGATGTGAAACAGTAGCATATGACAATATGTTTGATCAGCTTGTCTCAATATTTCCATATCAGACATATTTATTTTTATGTCTTGTCTCAATATTGTCGTATCAGATGGTATGATTGGTTTGATGTGATTTTGCATCGTGCTACAGGTTTTAATCTGCCGTGTCTCCCTGAACCCAGCACGGGAAGGAATCCAGCCGGTCGTGCGAGGACGTCGATGTCCTGTACCATAGGGGCCTAAATCATAGCCAATTAGAAGTTTTAGGTTTCCTTCTGAAAAAGTATAGTATAGTGGGCCCCAAAACAGCCTATTCTAATTAAGGCCCCTATATTAAGTTGCCTATGCTGTATTTGAAGCAGGATGGCTTCCGGAGCGACCACCATGAGGAATTGGAGACCAAGATTGCTGGATGTACAGATCCCAGACTGTCGCCAAAGGCCCGTGTTCCGAAGCGCCTCCTCTCGAAGCTCTCGCATTGCTAACAAGTTCAAGTCAAACAAAGGATACACTGTGATTCAGAGAGAGTCACAGGTGACACTAGTTCAGAAAGAGCCTCCAACGGTAATCTCACCTGAAGGCACGTCTCACCATGCAGGAGTTACTTGGGGCAGAATGCGCAATATGCGTGGACCTCGTGGAGAAAAGAGCGCGCAGCTTCTTCACAGGGAGCATCCCGGTGTTGCCTTCCCACTCCAACTTGCACGTAAGGCCAGCCGACTGCAATCGTTGAGAGTACCATCGACCCGAGCCGGTCTCAAGAACGGGCCAAATTCATGCGCATGTTTGTACCTTTTGCATTCAAGCCGCGTCCGCGCAACTAGTAGGCTGCATGCCCAGCAACTAATCTGGCCGTTTCCCGGCAGTGGGTATCCTTGTTGGCCAGTCGTTGACAGGAGTATGAGATATGTGCAGTATCAGATTGGGTTTACAGTGGTCAGGTTGTCGTGACGACGACAGTAGTAGTAGTTGTTGTTGCTGCTGCGGTTGGTAACACGGTTACCAGCAAAAAACGCATCGCAAAATTGAATAGATTTTGTGCTTGTCCAAGAAGAAAGAGCTGTGTCTTAAAGTCTCAAATTCTACGATTCTACAACATGCTGGTTCCAACTGTGTAACCGGACCATTGAGTTGTAGTGTTCGGATCTTTATCATCTTTGCAAGGCCGCCGTGGCGAACTGTCTGTCACGTCTCTGCTGCAGCTCCGGCGTTCAATGTGGTGCCTTTGAACAACATCCTCGAGTCTTGACATGCACAGTCCGTCTCCTCGAAAATGACAACAAAGACGCCGTCGCATGCTTGTCTGTTATTTGAGCCTAGCTGGCGTATGCAGCAGCATGGATTCTTTAAGGTAACTCATGTTGTTGCAAAGCAGGCATAACAGTTTTTTGTTGCAGGTTGTCGGGAATCTACACTATTCTCTTACACGACAAAGCCTTATGGAACAGCATTCGGCATCTTGGCCAGAGACAAATTCATGATTCCAGATGCCCCGGTCCTGGCCAGGAGCGCTTCATGTCAATCAGTCAATCAAAATTACTAAGTGGCTGAATGTTCGCCTCGGATTAGGTTGGTTTCGCTCACTTCTTGGAGATACCAGATACTGGTTAGCGTGGGAAAAGGACAATACACACAGTTGGGCGCTTGTTGCCAATGGGACCCCATTGAATGGCAGCGTTGCAGGCTGCAACCCAACCGCCACTTGCTCTGCCCGCAATATTTGGCTTCGTGTTCAAGATAGCTGCATGAGATTCTACGACAATCGCCCACGCGATAGCGTGTTTATCTTTGCAAGAGTGACCCACAAAAACGATAGTATCCAAATGCAGAGCGCTGTGCAACAGTTGTGGAAACTACCGTGTCGTAGCCCGGTCGGACAACTCTGGCAACGATGGCACAGTTCTTAGCACAATTTGGTGCGTTTGGCTTGTGTTTCGGTGCATTTGACTTGTTTTTTTTGGTTTCCTGCTTGTTTCTGAGGATTCGAGCAGGGCCTTGGCAAGGTCGGGCAGCCAGCGCTCTTGTTTTCTGGCGCTATGATTCTTTTGAATTGCTGCTTTTCGAGGTATTCTTGATGATGCGGCAGGTTGTCGGCATCACAGGCCGTGCCTCCAGACGAAGCTACAGTCCCAATGATCTGCCGACGGAGGAACACGACAAACATCACGAGCTCGGGCACGCTCTCCTGGTTCTGGCAGTGTCACGGCGGGGAGTAGCTTGCTTCGCCTTCTGAGGGACATGGTCACACGTCCCAAATCACGTTTTGGTACATGTGGAGGTGGCTTCAGGTGGAAAATCGCAGGCCCGACGCCTCAATGCGGAGCTGCAACCCTTTGTTTGAGCTTGATCCACCTTGAGCCACTGCAAATTTTCAAGGGGCCATCGCAGAATACGGCATATGGCTTCCAAAGCCCTGCACAGCCGAGCCGACCGTCTGTGGGCGGCACCAGCTGTGGGTCGAGCAGGTGGGCCCGGCCCCCGCCCTGCAGTGATTCTGACCAGTGTGCAAGCCAGGTTACGGTGTAGCAGGCTATAGTTGCTCTAGGCAGGATCCTATCGGGTGCTGCACGTGACTGCAGACTAGACATTTCCTTCGCTCCCTCCCTCCCTCCCTCCTTTCGTAGGCCACACCTTTGTTTTCTGTATCGTCCTGCGCAGTATTCCTTTTGCCGCTCCTGGCAATCGCGCTGTCAATGTGACTCGGAGTAGCACCTCTGGTGCTGTGGCAGCAAGAGCCTCAGGAATCTTCTAATCCATGCACTAGTCACTAGTTGCTACCGTTCTTCGTGTTCGTGCATTGTTGTTGTGTTATCCTACCATATCCTACCCCCAACTCCTCTGAGGCTCCTGAGCCGAAAACTGCTCGGACCTCGCGGCTCAGTGTCGTGGTTCGGAAGCGGCCAATGAACAAGAGGGAGGCCAAAAGCTTAGCTCTTGCATCTGTTGCCGTTGGTGAATCTCCTTATGCTGGCCAGGTGCAGACGGCACAGCAGGATGTCGTGATGTGCAGGCCGTGGTTGCTTCTTTTCGTTTGTTCTGTGTCTGGGAAATCTGGTAGCTCTTTTTGGGTGATGTCAGGGAAAGTGCCGTCATAGTGCGGGAGCCGAAACTGAAGGTTGATCTCACGCGCTATGTGGAGGACGCTAATCACGTCGTGCCAGCCTGGTTGCAGCTGAATACGCAGACTGAAAGATCTGAAAGGAGCACAACTTCCTCTTTGATCAAGCCTTCGACGAGACGGTGGCGAGCTGTGGCACGGGTGGAACTTTATTCATGGCTGCGACATCTGCCGAGGTGACCAATGAGTCGCTGTACAGGTCTTGTGTGCAGCCCATCATCGATGCAGCCGCCACCTCAGAGCTCCAGTTCGAGCGTCCGCTTGATTGCGATCAGACGACGTGGTCGAGCAGTCTGGGAAGCTCGTGCGGTATTGTCCACGGTCAGAGGTTTATGATGAAGGCTAGTCTATGTGCCACTGTCGTCCCAAAAACGTCACCTCCCTGTTGAAGGCCATCTGGGTGGTATTTCTGCTTCCGTCGACTTGAGTATCATCCGTCCCAGTAGACACCTGCGGGAGTCTGTTGCACTGCAGCACCGGCCGTCCTTGCATGTGCAGGTTTCCAGCCACCGTCCGGCACCACAAAACCCACACCAAAGTGCCAAGAGCACAAAGTGCGGCAGAGCAATATTCCAGGCTGAGTCGCAGCACCAGGAACCCGTGACACAGAGACTGAGCGCAGTTTACTTGGCTAGCTAAGCCCCAGTCCATGTCAGATGCACTGGGATATGCCGCCAGCTACCTGCAAGATTCGCGCCAAACATGAACAACTACAGTTGGGATTTCGTTGTCTGCGAAATTGGCAGCACAACACACGACATGCCCCTGCGTGGACAATCCATGCCTGAGAGCTTCTGCAAACTGGTCGAGCTCTCCGTATATGTGTGTGTTCGTCTGCCCCTGTCTCTCTTTCGCCTTTGTTTGTTCTCTGGCTTTCGCCTCTCTCTCCCTCCCTCCCTCCCTCCCTCCCTCGCTCGCTCGCGCTCGCGCTCGCGCTCGCTCGCTCGCTCGCTCGCTCGCTCGCTCTCTCTCGCTCTCTCTCTCTCTCTCTCTCTCTCTCTCTCTCTCTCTCTCTCTCTCTCTCTTTCTCTCTGACACTCTCCGTCCCGGTCAGTTTATCCTTTGTGCTTAGCTTATTCGGTGTGCATGTGCGTTCTCATTAGGTCTTTCATCGAGCCAAATGCACTTGCTTTGCGTGCCTTGACTGCAAATGGTGTGGTACCGGCCAAGGTATGCTACGCTTAGGGCAGCGGAGTCTGTGAGAACATCTAGCGGTGACAGTCGCTCGAGGTATGGCCAGACAGGCAGCGGCAAGACCTTCACAATGATGGGCCCTCCCAAGCGCTTGGTGCGCCGTCACAGCTGAAATCAGCACGTTGATCACAGGGAAAACGGTACAGCCGGTAGAGTGCAAGGGCGGCCGATTGTGGATATAGTGTGTCGGATTTGCTGTTGCATTCAGCCTGCAGAGGTGCTTCCTTTGGCACCGTTGTAGATCATGAAAGCAGGTCGAGAACCTTGCCCCGGAAGAGCGAACTCCCGGGATTTTCCTACTTGCATCCCAGGCCAGGCCGGCTCCCCACCCGTTCTTTCAGTCAAATACGGATCTCGGCAGGACATCTTCAGATCGGTTGCGAGCAAGGCCGGCAAAGACATGCAATAAGAAACGCCGTTGGAGTTCCTCTGAGCTGAAGCCTTGGGCAAGGACTACTCACACCTTGGAGTTTTCATCGCTTTCTATGAAATCTACTGCGGCAAGCTTTTCGATCTCCTGAACAACAGGCTCGATTCGATGCACTCGTTGGCTCAGGCTTAAGTGGCTCTCGAAGTAAGACGGCTGCAAAGGCAGATCTTGCACGCCCGGGAGAATGCCAAAGGCAACGTTGTCATTGCTGGACTGCAGGAGTGGATCAGAATCATCCCTATGTTCCTTTGGCGGTTTCACTGCGAAGATTATGACGATGTTAGCTTTTCTGTACTGCTTGCAAGCAAGCTCTTTGTGGCCTGCTGCATGCTGCAATGCTCTATGACTCTATGAAGTGCAGGAGCATCCCGTGGGCAATGTGCAGGATCTGATGGAGGTTTGCCCCCCAGTCGTACATGCGTGTGAAGAGCGAAACCTGCCACACTGCAGCTTTTTGTGAGGTCATCGAGTTCGGCCTCAACAGCCGGACAACGGGCGTCACCGGTGCCAACGTAGATTCGTCGCGATCCGGGATCATTGAAGATGTCCATGTTCATCTCTGAACAATGAAGTTTCACATGCAGAGCTAGAGGTCCCGCTCCCATGCCATTCTGCAGATCAGCTTGAAGGACTTGGAGTCCAAGGAGGCGTCCCGAGCAGGAACCGTCCGCGCCGGGGGGGGGGACTTCTTGTGATCTCGGCCGAAGGAACACGGCAAGATCTCCTTCATTGACCTTGCGGGCAGTGAGCGTGGTGCAGACACCCTGGACACCGACCGACAGGAGATCTGGGGAAGGGAGCCGGTGAGCGCTGCACAGCCGAAAGTCTCTGGCCTGGCCGTTTCTTCGGCAGACGCGTATGGACGGCGCCGAGATCAACAAGTCCTTGCTTGCGCTCAAGGCGACAGCGGGTTATGCCGTGCTTGCCAGCTGCTCTGCTGGCGTTGGGTAAGGGGAAGCCCAGCGATACCTGTGAGAATAAGTTCAGTCGTGCAGGAGTGCATCCGAGCCTTGGATCAGCAGCTGGACCACACACCGTTTCGAGGCTCCAAATTGACGCAGGCCGCACCGCGAAGCTTTCACAGCCCTGAAGCATGACGGAGCACATTATTATAAGCTCCAGGTCTTGAAGGACTCTTTCGTTGGTGCGAACTGTCGGACGGTGTTTGTCTCAGCTGCCTCGTGTTCAAGATTGATTTGACTGGTGAGTTTTTTATTCGGTTCACACCTGCTTGCATTATGGATTGGTGTTGCACAAGGTGATGATCGCGAATGTCTCGCCGTGCACTGCCCATTGTTGGGTCTTGCCAGTCAGAGCGGGGACAACCACATGCTTGCAGCAGGGAGTAGCACCACATCTCATCAATCGCAGCAGAACTGAAGGACGAAATTGAAGTAGCACGCAGTGAGGGACGAGATGCGGGTAGCTCGTTCCAACTCCTGAGGTGCAGTGGTGCTGTGGAGCACTCGCTCAACACGCTCAGGCCACTCCATTTAGCCTCATCGAGTTTCCCGAGCGCACTTCATGACCCATGGTTGTCCTGCGAGGTATGCGTACCGAGTGAAGGAGCTGCGAAGTGCACCAGCTCCTTCCAAGGTTGTAGCACCACCACCGGGCCGGCCTCTCAAATGACGTGGCTAGCAGCAATACTTGGGAGCCAAGGTTTCAAGGTTTTTTGGAGGGGGAAATGATTGGTAAGTCTTGACCAGGAGGTATCGGGTCTGTAGCCTTAGCTTCCGGCATCACGACTTGTGTTTTCGGTGGGATCCTACATACTTTGGCCCCTTCTGGTCACGGCCGGATTGCGATAAGCTCTTTGTTGAGCACACCTCGGAGGTTTAATCAAAATCTGTCGTTTGCTTTTGGCACCCCAGGTGCATCGGACTTTCAGCCTCTCCTTCATGTATTTGCATATCCCCCTTTATGCTGCTCTACGGATGCGTGAGTACACGATCTAGTGATGTTCAGGTCCCGGTGCTGATACTTCTCAGCAGCTCTGTGGAATGCAGGCGGGGCTTGATGTCTTGTGGCAGAGTTCTGCGAAGCAATGCCAGAGAGTTGGATGCCCTGGTGGCCCGCGCAGGGCGATCTTCTGGTGGATCGCTCGAGTGCCGGTCTCAGAGAGGCACGTAGTGGATTGTTGTCGGAGCATTGTCCATGAGAAGGTGACAGCAGCGAGGACGAACTCCAGCCGTCTTCTCGACATGCTTGCAGTTCCGGACCGCAGCTGACACTTCTTGTGCATGCCAGAACAGTTCAAGTAAAGGATGTTAAGGTTTTTTTTGCACCGTGAGGGCTACAAGTCACGAACAGGATTTGTGCATCTGCATTGCGTGGGATGCCAGGCCGCAGCCATCGCGGCCTGCGTTCAGCAACGATGCCCAGGATGCCCCCTCTGTCCTTGGTGTCAGAAGCAGTGTGCCATCTTCTGTGAGAGGCTTCACCTGCGAGCCAGGGCAGCGGATCCAGTTGGAACGGCACGCAGCGATTGGCAACTTCTGCACAGGTGCAAAATGTCTTAAAAAGCCTGTACACTACGAAGGTTCCCAGATTAACAGAGAAATGATGCAGTTGCAGGTGGCCAATGCAGTTGCTGCGGTGCCTTGTCCGAACGTAGATCTGGACCATGGTGCTCGTACTCTCTTGTGCTGGAATTTGCCACCTCGCCAGCGTCGGTGTCTGTGTTTACGGAGGCCAATGCAGCCGCAGCTGCAGTACTGCCTTTGCAGCAGCAAATTCAACAGAAGGAGCTTCACCAGCCACCTGCTGGACAGGCTACACCATCACAGAATTCCAACTGTCCGCCACAGCAACCAGCCCCACAGCACCCATGCCACACACCACAGCACGCCCCACCCAACACACATGTTCAACCATCATTTCAGCAGCCGCAAGCAGCGCAGCCAACGCAGCTGCCGCCACAGGCTCTCGCCCAAGAGGGTGTCTGTGCAGCAGCTGTTGTCGCATGCTGCCGAATCTTTACCCGATCCGGACTCGTGTGGCAGCGGTGACGATTGGCCAGTTGCGAGCATGGTTGGACAGTTAGACAAGTGCTCAAGTCGCGCGAGAGAGAGTGTGCGAGCGGGTGAAATGATCTTCGGTCACTCTTGCCCACAGATTTTTGCGACTCATTAACGCACTTCAAGGATGGTTTCCAAAAATTGCTCTCCGAGGTGCAAACGCAGTCCATAGTGCAGGACCCTGTTGGAAGCCCAGAAGAGATTTCTTGTTCCCGGACTATGGTCCATATCCTATCGATTTTGGCTGTGCGACCGGGGCTCTCGCCCAACCGAGCGGTCGCCCAGAGGGTGGGTGTACAAGTGCGCACTCCGGCGCCGATTCTGGGCGCCGTGCCCGGCCGGGTGCACGTACCTTCTAATTCTAAGACTAAAGAAAGGGTGCTGCACCGTGCACCTGAATGCTGTAGATCTTGGCTAGCATGTCCTTCGCTCTCTGCATTTTTCGAAGGGGACTGCAGAGCTGCATGAAAATGAGGTGGCAGCCGGCATCCCTGACCATTCCCAAGCAGCTTTGGACGAGCCTGGCTGGCAGAACTTTGAACATTGACAAGTGGTACTCAAAAGACGAAAGTGCACAGGCATCGACATAGCAACCACTACATCCATGCAGGCTTTTGTACATGCCTACAAGCAAGTTGACATACCGAGCGACGAGCGACCGACAACCGACCCGCCTTCTTAGGTTATTGACAGAAGCCAAACCAAAGGACACATCTGGCTTTGGATGTAGGTAACAGTCAGAGTCGAACAGCCAGGTTGGCCCGACAACACGACCGGCTCATAGGCACCATCCTCGCAGAGGAGGAGGAGCTGCGGCCCCGCTAGCCTCGGAGGATGTGCCTCTCTTTTCCGCGATTCGTCCGCAGGAGTTGATCACAGCTCACCGTCAGCACATTGACATGATGGTGGAGCTGATCAAGGAGCAACGCTTGCCTGAATGGCCAAATTTTGGACTGGCGGTCCAACTTTGGGCATAGTTGGGCTAAAAGTGCTGAAGGTTCATAATATGGATGAACGCATGCACAGCATGCACGATGGAAGCATCAAGGCTTCTTGTCAAACTCAGTTCCATGTCGCACAGGAGGAGATGGTGCACCTGAACAACGTCGACCGTCCGGGCTCTGACGTCGACGCTTACGTAAATGGCCTCGACCGGATACTCCGAATGAAGGCCACTGTCTGGAGCAGAGAAAGATCACCTAGTGACCTAGTGGACCAAGGGGTAATCTGTGCTAGGTTCCTGGATGCACCGGCTCGTGAAGGGTGGGGTCCAGACGCCACAATCTCGTTCCGTGCAGGCTGATTACATCGGCGACATCCGTTCTCGCGTAGACCTCTTCAAAGAGCACCTCGCGCAGGAGCGTAGCGGCGTAGTGCTTTGTAGCAGTGCGTTAGCGGCTTCTGGCCCAGAGCTGGTGCGTTTGGTCGTGGCAGCGGCGGCAGTGGGTGTCGTCGTCGTAGCAGCAGTATCACCAGTAGTAGTAGTAGTAGTAGTAGTAGTAGTAGTAGTAGTAGTAGTAGTAGTAGTAGCACTGCACGGCGATTAGTCGTAGTCTAGGCATAGACAGATGAATGATGATCGGAGCAATCTCCATTGCATGTTCTGGTTTGACCAGCATCATGTCGCTTGAAATGTTGTGTTGATCGCCCTCCCACTCGCCAGGAGGATGCGCTTTCACGGAAGTTCCAATCCCTAGCATCATCATCGGGTTGAGACGCAAGTCCGCCAAGTCAGACGCAGTGGCTTGTATCATTGGAACCTTCTGTCATACTCACTGGAGTCAGTGGTGTTGGTCCGCAGCACTCTTGAAGACACAAAGAGGGTGTGATCCCATCACAAGGGGAGCATGACTGCTTGGGTCTCAGCACTTTGGTGAGTTTTCTTGTCGCAGTTTCCCGGCGAGTCAACTTCCTGGAAGCTCGAATTGCCTTCACTGGCGTTGTGCAGTGAATGGGGAAAGCAACACGCAGCCTCAGCAGAGCCACCTTTCCGGAGGTGATACCAGCCGACTTCAGTGGTTGTTGCGACTGCAAGCGTGTTGTGCTCTAGCAGCCCAGTACAGCGCACGTAGCAATCCATTCAAGTGGGGCTTTGAAGTCGCAGCGGCGCCGCTGCAGAGCAAAAAGGCGACGCGCTTCTCTGACAACGCATGGAATAGCACTGAAGCACTGTCTGTCCCCTTACATTCTATGCGTCGGGTCTGACAGTGGAGTATTGCAACGGCCAAATCTTGAAGCTTTCGTCTGATGTAAAGTAACGTATGTTTCATGCTGTCGCGAAGACGTGCTTTGGAGCTGCATACCCCAGCTAGCCCTCCCTACAGCAGTTGTCGAACGCACTGTGATCGTGATCAGCTAATTGGCGCCTTGGATTGGCCAAGAGATCAGACGATATGAGGCACGCAAAGGAAAGGATTCGCAGGAGGGCAGGCTCGAACTGAGAGAGAAGTTGGACATTGCGTCCGTGCGGGTTGCAAGGTATTCGATTCTGGTGTGGCTATTGCAGAGGTGGTAATGATATCCATTGTGGGAGGAATATGTTGCAGAGTATTCTGTGAGACCATGTGCGCAGTTTCAGCTTTCGCTGTTTTGCTCACGGCATCATGCTGGTGAGTTGCAAGCCACCTGGCTCAAACATCAACACAACGCGTTCCTCCTTTCAGGCACGAGAACGCACGTGTGCATGCAGTACACAAGAATTTCAACATGCTTGTAACATCAGGTTGACAAGCCGAAAGGATCCATGTTTTATGCAGCACGAATGGATTGCCTATAGGGTCCGTTTGCTAACACCATAAAGCAACTCAATATGTCCTTACTCATGCGTATAGAACTTGTGCCTAATGCCCAGATGGACAGACCATGTTCTGTGCGCCTGTAGCGGTTGCACCAATATGGCCAAGCCCGGCAGCATCGTCAAGTCGAGCATTCCCAATCGGCAAGCCGCGAGCGATTCCTCCTCCGCGAGGTGTGGCAACAGCGCTTGTGGGAGCGTTGGCCATTGCACGACGCACTGCTCACTATGGCGACCGCGCAGGGGCTTTGATTGCTGTCGGTGTGGCCGTCAGCGCTCGGGTCTTGCGACGCGCTGCCGACACCGACTCGGCTTCCAGCCAGCGGTTAGTGGAAAATCTACAGCGACAGGTGGCAAGGTGGGGTGCTGTGTTTGGAATGCCTTCGGAAAGCGGTTGACGCTCCTAGCTGTGCTTCTTGCAGGTTAGAAGAAGCCAACAGGCAGTTGCAAGCTGAAGTGTTGGCTGCAAAAGCTTCGCTTGGCCTGCCAACTGAGGATGCCGAGCAGGCTAGGACCTAGGATTGTTGTGCTGAGTCGAACAACTTGATGGTTCCTTGCACAGGCACGCTCCAGCTTCGACGAAACAGGACAGCTCCGAAAAGCCCAGCCGGGCTTTGTGCCCAGCTGTGTTGGCATGATCTGTCCCGCAGTGATAGTTCAGATATTGTACATGCAGATCATGCAGCCTGGACCGAGATTGAAAGTGCGCCACTGGGCAGGCCCAGCAGGTTGTTAGTTATGGGGCATGCCAGGACGATTCGCTTTTCCAAAGGCGGGCAGCGTGTCATTCGCGGCACGTACCTGTTCAAGCAGGGCCGTGTCAGACAGACTGTCCATCGAGCCAAGCAAGAGGACACAATCATGCTTTAAGTTCGCTGCGATTGCTAGCAGGCGGATCTTCCATTTCCGTTGGAGTCACTTCGACTGGTACCTCCAGAGAGAGGTCTGGAGTACAGAGAGGTTATCCCGACACAGCTTTTACGAATCGGGATTCTTAGCTGACCGCAGAAAGAGAGATGATGCCAGGAAGAGGGCGATTGGATATCGCTTTTCAGGACTGATGTGTTTGGGAAGCATCGTGGCGGCCGGTCTCTTGTCGTACATGATGAGGAATGCTGCGCCCTACATCGCGGCGTTCAGGCCCGTGGCGTCTGAGTTACCACGGCACAGACTCGAGCGAAGTGTCCAACATGGGTGAAGTTTGCAGTGAACAGGTTTTGGGAGGCAGCACACCCGTACATGTCCCGCGCGGCTCAGGGGTGGAACCGTCGTGGTGCACCTGCCCTCCTTCATGCTGGAAGATGACATGCAGGAAACTTTTCGTGGACTGATGGAGGAGCCTGGCGCCCTTCGACACTCAGAGTCGGTAAGCGACAGCTGCTGCATGCAGGACGTCGCCTTCTGCTCTTTATTGGGGCTACAGATGGTTCTCGTTACCTCTATCGAGCAATGACCTCGTTGGCTGCTGTGGGCGAGTCTTACAGTGCACGGCAGCCAAAACTTTCGAGGTGCAGGCTTTGGCGGAGGCTGCGACCCGACGAGGTTGGGGGCTGTTGTGGTCGGGTTTCAGCCAATAACCGAGGCGTGCCTTCCCTTGGCAAGCCAGGCCTTCTTGGCGAAGGATGGTGCTGGGACGAAGGCGCCGGTTCCTTCGCGCACGGTCATGTGCCACTGTGTTTCATCTTGGAGTCGTTTGATTCGGCTCCAGTCTTAGACATGGGCCGGTGACGCGAAGCACGCAATGGTGCCATGCAGCGCAGCCGGAAGCAGCCGAAGGCAGGCGAAGAGAAAGCCAAAGCCATCTCAAAGCAGTGGGGGGGTTTACGCCAGGAGCATAGATGACATAGCTATTGGCCACCTTTGGGGTTGAACGCGTGTGCCAGCATTGATCTCTGGCTGTCCGAGTTGACAGCCATGTTTGGCTCAAGGCTAGCATGCAGCTAGCCAGCTAGTTCATTGTTCGTCGCATACATCTACTCGAAGAACCAACCAGAAGCATTCTATGGCTGGCTCCTCAGCGCCGTGCCGAGACGTGTCTGCATGTGAAGCTTGCGACAGTGAGGCACCGAGACGCTCGGTATCATGGTTTATCTTGGCGGCGAATCTCCATCTAACCGCTGGACGGGGTATTACCATCACTCCTAGCTCCATCTCAGTTTCTTGGCTTCAAGTCATGGGTTTTTGACAGCCACTCGGTGCCAAAGTTAGCCAGCGTGGTCGGCAAACTTAGTTACAAGCATCAGCCAAGGCCAAAAAAGAAACGCAGATCACCTTCACAGGACGACGCCGCTTGCAATGCTGTTGAAGTGAGGTGCCAACTTTTCGATTGGCCTTTGCCAGGAGCCAAGAATGGCGACAAAGTGTTCTTTACCAAGGCCGAATGCTCTGCTGTGACGGAGCCTTCGCTTGGCAAGGAAGCCTGTGACTGCCGGCATCTGCCGGCTGCCAGAAAGAGCATGTCTTTGATGACAATGGAAGACCAAGGATGACGCTGCTGCTGTGATCAAGAATGGCAGAGCAGGGATTACAGTTGCCGAGGCTCCAGGGAACTCCCTGGGCGGCTCTTCTTCTGTTGGACATAAGCTCAGCTCTCAGCTCAGTTCCCTGGAGCGTCATAGCTGCAGGAAGCCAGCGGACTGAAGCTTTGCCTGAAGCCGGCGGGTGGTGCAATCGCCGAGCAGGCAGCGAAGAGACAGGCGTCGCTGAAGGATTTGGAGTCGGTTGAAATGTTGCCAAGGCTGGAGTTAGCTTGAATGTCATCAAGCCCACACCGCCCTCGGTTGTGGAATCGGTCAGTGCGCAACTCAGGCATCGAACAGCAGTGCGATGTGAGAGTTTGATGGTGCACAGCACATGCTTGGCCTGTCAGATTCATAACAGATGACTTGCATTTTGACGTCTGAACCCCGCCTTTGCAGATATGCAATGCTTATCTCTGGACAGTTCCAGAACGCATTCAAACTCCTGTCTATGATTTCATCCTCAATTGCAAGACCCAAATCTGGGTCCGAAAAGGTACATCGGAAGGTGCCTTCGTGCCTGTGTACGTTTACTTGAGGTCGCAGCTCCATCACCCGTGGGGTCACGACATCGGTGACACTGAAGGGAGCGGAAGCCAACGCAAAAGCAATATTTGTCCCCGTTGAAAAAGCCAGCTGGCTGGAATTGGTAAGAGGTTTGCATGTGAACTGGTTCTCTTGTCCTGTCATCTCACGCACATGACCTTTGCATGCCAAGGATTGCAGTGCCGCTTCTCCCAAAGCAGTTTTGAATGTGGACGGGAAAGGTTCCTTCACCATCCCCTCCACAGGCCGGAATCCCCCCCAGAAAGCGGGGGACGAGTTATCGACTGACACCGGGCCATTCCCGTCCAGGCAAGACCGGAGAGTATAAGCTTTGCTACCAGTCGCCTGGTGGGAGCGATTCAGTGCAGCAGACGGCGGCCAAGGGTGTTGTGAAGCTGCAGGCAGGCTGTGCGGGAGCACTTTGTCTAGCTAGCTCGCGTGCAAACATGGCTTGGTATGTTGGGCCGACATGCCAGTCAATGAAAAAATATCAGAACAAGACCTGACCATTCGCACCAGCGCACTGCAGCATCGGATGCACAAGAACAGACGATGTGCGGAACGTGCTCGAGAAGAGCACAACGCCAATCAAGCACTCTTGATGTAGAAGACAAGGGGCATCGTGAGAAATCTAAACCCTATAGAGCCTCGAAAAGCTAAAACTCACTAAAGCCAAGAATGTCCGATGCTCTGTTGTTATGGTGCGAAGGTTCAAGAATCTGCGACAACAAGCCAAGATGAAATCACAGACACTTGGCTGGTTCGCTTGTTGCGAGGCATCGCTGTGTTCTGAAACGTCACAAGTTTCTGACCAAATTGCCCCGTCACACTGTGATGCTCAGGGCATCTCGCCAAGCCTGATTACAGTGAACGTACCGACCGTGGTGTCCTTCACCGGTGCTGCGACAGGGGACAAAGCTGCTGCTTGTCACATACTGAAGGCGCAAATGCGGCGCTCATGGGTCAGAGCAAGACCGAGGTTTTTGTGCACTCGGCATCTTCGGACTGTGCAGCGGTCACGCCCGAGAAAGATGTTGGCGCTGGACATGCGATGTTCACGATCACGACAGCAGGCAGGAGCAGTTTTCAGGTGTTTGACATGCTCGGCCTTGGCAGTGGGAGCGTGTGCAATGGCCTGTCAGGTGAGTACACCTTGTGCTATCGATCTGCGGGTGCACAGGATTCTGTTGCCCAGAATGGAGAAGGGGTGAAACTGCAGGCCCGAGCGGTGTTGGACTTGCCCAGCATGGGAGGTTCGGTAAATTCCTTGGCTATAATCACTGTCGTATTCCTGGTACTGCTTGTGCTGCTGCGAATGTCATCATCTACATTGCCCTTTGCACCAGCACAACGTTCCCGTTGCCCGAACAACTGCGTACTCTTACGATTGGCACGCCGTCCTTCCCATTACACTTGCAGGGTTGCTGGTAAGTTTTACTGCTCGGTGTTGCAGTTTTTTTGTTGCTGATGGTGTGGGTGGCAGTCTCATGGTCTCATGGATTTTTCCTCGTGCGAGTACCGTGTCTCATGACTGCCTGCACTGCTGGTAGGCTGTGATGATGGCTAGGACCAGTCCTGCCTGACAAAGATCACTGCAGGTCAAAGCGCCTGGCGTCACCAAAGAGATGGTTGGGCGTTGGCAGAGCAAGGAGGGACAGCTGGATTGTACGTCTCTGACATACGTGCCCTACTGTGGTGTATCGCAAGAAGAGAAATGCAACTTGGACTCAAGGAAATCTACGAGACTTGCGCTCGGCTTGATAGCTCGATGCCCCTGACTCTAAGGCAGCCGAACGTACATGGTCCAGTCTGGCATCGGAGCCTTGACAGTGATAGGCTGTTTCTACTAAGGGACGCAGAATTCCTCGTGCAACTCTTGCGTGGAACATGTTGAACTCCTTGAACGTTTTCACGCTGTGTGACCGTTCTCAGGTTACAAATGTAGTTGGAATCTTCAAGCATGGCCTCCGAAATGCACGGTCGAGTCTGCAACAGATGTTGCAAAAATCTGCATGTCGGGAAGATGCGCAAATGACGCTTGTTGGTGAAGCTCTCCACCAGCATGCCTTCGAAGTCATTCGTCAGCAGAGAGGCCGCCGCGGGACGTAGCCGATGTTTGAGACGCATTCGGTTTGACTGTGGAGTCAGCTCGCTCTGAGGCGAAGATCATACTGGATATTGAACAAGCTGAGCAATGCAAAACTGCAATGCCCCGGGTTGGATTGCTGAGTCAGTTTGTGTGGCGTAGCCAGCCTTTCACTCAATTTGCTGCATCTCTTGAGGCCCCCGCGTTCAAAAAGCTAGCAGATCCTGTTCCAAGCCCCGCTGAGCATTGTGTTTTGTTGCATCTGTGGCACACGGCACACATCTTTCAAGAAGCTGCGTTCATGAGCCATTTTCTCTCACTTTAGCACAGGGCATCTTTGTTAGTTCTTGGTAGAAGAGGATGGCGCAGACTTTTGCGGACGATCATAAGATTGATGAGCTGGTTGAAAAAGTCCCTGCAGGCGAGCTCCGGGTCTCTTTCTCCCTGTCTCTTGCTCCTGTTTGTTAGGTGTTTTTTTGTCCCTCTCTGTCTCTCTCTCGAATCTTCAGTGTTGCAGATTTGGTGGTACCTGCCTCTGTCATCGCTTCGTATTCCTGCACATGATCGTGACATCCTCTTGCCTAGCCGCCGTAAGGAGACTTGCCTCAGTGACAGGCGAGTCACTAGTCAAGTAACCAGCAGAGCCACAACACGGTAGTGCACGGCGCAATGCATTGAGAGGTTGGTTTTCCTTCGAGTACTTCCCGCCGAAGACCGCGGAGGGTGTCGAAAACCTGCGCAAGCGGATTGTGAAGATGAAGGCTTTCTCACAGCTGAAACGGCTGTACTTTGTACTTTTAAGTTTATGATTCAAGACAAGTCTCAGTTGCGAGGCCCTGGGCCCGCTCTTCACGGACTTCACTTGGGGAGCCGGTGGCTCAACGTCGGAGCTTACCTTGAAGCTCACCTCGGCGGCCAAGAACGAGTTTGGGACCGTGGCCAACATGCACCTGACATGCACGAACCAGAGCTCCGAGATGACGGAGAATGCTTTGAAGGAGTGCAAGCAGCTGGGAGTGCGCAACATCGTTGCCCTCAGGGGTGACCCTCCGCGAGGCCAGGAGAAGTGGACGGCCACCGAAGGTGGCTTCAGCAGTGCTCTGGATCTGGTCAAGTTCATCAGGAAGCACTTCGGCGACTACTTCTCAATTTCCGTAGCAGGCTATCCTGAAGGGCACCCCGACAACATTGAGACGGTTGAAGGCGGGGTGGCAGCTCTGACCGAGTCCGAAAAGCGAAGGGCACGAGTGGTGAAGGATGCCTCCGGGAAGGAGATTGTGACCGTCTGCCGCGATGCCAATTTCCACAAGGAGATGGTGCACCTGGATCAGCCCAGCATTGCATTTCGTTTCTAAGCTTTGTGGCTCAGGTGGCTCATGTTAGTCAGAAGGACAAGATGAAAGCCTGCGTTTTGATTCCAAGGTATCTGAAGGAGAAGGTCGATGCCGGTGCCGCCTTCGTCATTACCCAGATGTTCCTGGATGCCCAGGTTCCCAAGTTCGCAGTAAGAGTCGCATGCGGTTTCGCTGTAGCAATAGCAGTGGCAGTGGCAGTCGAGTAGCAGTTGAAGTGCAGTAGGAGTAGGCGGCGGGCAAGGAGGTGGGAGTCGCAGTCGTCGTCGTAGTAGCAGTAGGGGGGGAGCAGGACTAGGATTACACTCGGACTAGGACTGGCTAGGAGTTGGAGTAGGGGTAGGGGAAGGAGTAGGAGGAGGAGTAGGAGTAGGAGTAGCGGCAGCAACAGCAGCAGCAGCAGCAGCAGCAGCAGGAGTCTTGGTAGTGGTAGTGGTAGTGGGAGTGGCAGTGCCAGTGCCAGTGGTAGTGGTAGTGGTGGTAGTAGTAGTAGTAGCAGCAGTAGTAGTAGTAGCAGCAGTAGTAGGAGTAGGAGTAGGAGTAGGAGTAGGAGTAGGAGTAGTAGTAGTAGTAGTAGTAGTAGTAGTAGTAGTAGTAGTAGTAGTAGTAGTAGTAGTAGTAGTAGTGGTAGTAGTGGTAGTAGTGGTAGTAGTAGTAGTAGTAGTAGTAGTAGTAGTAGTAGTAGTAGTAGTAGTAGTAGTAGTAGTAGTAGTAGTAGTAGTAGTAGTAGTAGTAGTAGTAGTAGTAGTAGTAGTAGTAGTAGTAGTAGTAGTAGTAGTAGTAGTAGTAGTAGTAGTAGTAGTAGTAGTAGTAGTAGTAGTAGTAGTAGTAGTAGTAGTAGTAGTAGTAGTAGTAGTAGTAGTGTGTGTGTGTTGTTGTTGTTGTTGTTGTTGTTGTTGTTGTTGTTGTTGTTGTTGTTGTTGTTGTTGTTGTTGTTGTTGTTGTTGTCGTTGTTGTTGTTGTTGTTGTTTTAATATTAATAGTAGCAGTAGCAGTAGCAGTAGCAGTGGTAGTAGTAGTCGTAGTCCTTGTCGTAGCGGCAGCGGCAGCAGTTGTTGCAGTAGTTCTTCCGTCGTCATGAGTATCGGTATGCATGAGAGAAAGGTATTTGACTGCTGGTACTACGGATATTCGACTGCAGCATCGAGGTACGATACGATGAACAGCTGTCCCCTAATTACTGCTGGTGCACGGTCTGGCCAAGCCCCGAACGTCGGGCTAGGCGCGTGAGGATAGTTGGACGTAGTGACGTAGTCGTCTTTTTCGTGCTATCTGTGTGACAGCGATTTGTTCGGCCATGCTTTTTCTGCGTTCTGTCAAGGTTTTCCTGGAGTTCGTCAAGGAATGCCGTAAGTATGACATCAAGGTGCCGATCGTGCCCGGCATCATGTGTACCTTCCTCAGGTGTTATTCTGTCTGTGGCAAGCGTGAGTGTTGCTGTGTTCTTTCTGTGGTTGTTGGGACTGATTGCGTGTGTTTCTTTGCTTGTTCTGAAACGGCTGCAGCTTTTCTGATGCGGGCCGAGGCCTGAATGGTTTGGGCGGGTTGAAGCGGATGACGGAGCTTTGCAAGACACGAGTGCCCGAGGGCCTCATGGAACGGGCGGAGAAGGCCAACACCTCCGATGAGGCTTTCAAGGATTCCTGATCCGAATCTTTTCGCGGAGCGCAAGTCTAGTTGCTTTTGCTTCTGTTTTTGTGCCAGGAGTTTGGCATCCAGGAGGGCGTGGCCATGTGCAAAGCGCTGCTGGAGGGTGGAGCGCCGGGTTTGCACTTCTACACCCTGAACCTGGAGAAAGTCGTCGTTGGTATTCTCAAGGGCCTGGGAAAGATCAACGATGCACAGGCAGCAGCCTTCCAGGCAGTCGAGGCGGATGCCAAATTCATGGTTTCGGCCCAAGGTATCACCACGGGCACAAAGGCTAACGGCAACCGGCCAGCGCTGCCCGGCAACCGCCCGTTGGTGGAGGCAGACCCTGCGATGCACGAGCTGGTGCAGCAGGAGAAGGCTCGGCAGATGCGATGCATCGAGCTGATCGCCTCGGAGAACTTTACCTCGCGGGCTGTGATGGAGTGCCTCGGGTCGGCACTGACCAACAAATACTCCGAGGGTCAGCCTGGAAACCGCTACTACGGTGGCAACGAGGTCATTGACAAGGTCGAGAACCTCTGCAAAGAGCGTGCGCTGAAGGCATTCAGCCTTGATGAGAAGCAGTGGGGCGTGAATGTACAGCCGTACTCGGGAAGCCCAGCCAACTTCGCTGTCTACACTGCGTTGCTCCCTCCTCATTCCCGTGTCATGGGCCTGGACCTGCCAAGCGGTGGACACTTGACGCATGGCTACTACACTGCCCGAAAGAAGATCTCAGTCACTCAGACCAATTCATCCGACCATACAAAGGGGTAGGCAATGAGTTGAATAGGTTGAAAAATGGACCGCTCAGGCGACCTCCATCTACTTCGAGTCTTTGCCTTACCGTGTGCACCCAGAAACCGGACTTATCGACTTCGATGAGCTTCGCAAGACAGCCCTCGTCTTCCGACCTGCCATGATCCTCTGCGGAGCCTCCGCGTACCCTCGCATCATCGACTTTGGAAAGTTCCGTGAAATCGCAGACGAAGTTGGAGCGATCCTGATGGCAGGTCGGCCCGTTTTGCTTACCCCGAACCTCCAACATGCGAGAGCTTGTCAGGAGTCTCCTTTGCAGTGCATGAGTAAGCCACAAATTACGTAGTGTGATTATGTGTGCGTTTCCCCAACCCTTGTGCCTGACAGACATCGCCCACATCTCCGGGTTGGTCGCCACCGGCGAGCATCCGTCGCCCTTCGAGCACTGCGACGTCGTGACCACCACCACCCACAAGTCTCTGCGTGGACCACGGGCTGGCATGATCTTCTTCAAGTACACCGAGAAGATCCCCGACATCAAGGAGCGCATCGACATGGCCGTGTTCCCAGCACTCCAAGGTGGTCCCCACAACCACCAGATCGGTGCTCTGGCCGCGCAGCTGCTGGAGGTGGACACGCCCATGTTCAAGGACTATGCTCGCCAGGTGAAGGCGAACGCCAAGACGCTGGCAGAGACTTTGATGGGAAAGGGCCACAAGCTGGCGAGCGATGGCACGGACAACCACCTCTTGCTTTGGGACCTGCGCCCCCATGGCCTCACCGGCTCCAAAGTTGAGAAGATCTGCGAGGCGGCCTCCATCACCCTGAACCGCAACGCAGTGCACGGCGACGCCTCGGCCTTGTCGCCCGGAGGTGTCCGCGTGGGGGCCCCGGCCATGACCACGCGGGGCTGCACGGAGCAGGACTTCAGGAAGATCGGCGAATTCCTGGACCGCTGCTGCCAGATCGCCTTGAAGATTCAGGCCGAGAAGGGCAAGAAGCTCAAGGACTTCGAGGCTGCCATCCCAGGAAACTCCGAGGTGACCCGTCCAAGTCGGAGCGTTTCACAAGCTTTTGAAGCCTCATCTAGGTTTTGGTTGCTGATGTCTTGTGTCATTGCCAGCTCTTGTCACACTCTTCTTTCAACCGGGGGTGAATTACTAACACTCATACTTGGGTGCACAGCCTCCGCATAGCATCGGCCTATGCCAAGGTCACAGCACTCAAGAAGGAGGTGGAGGAGTGGGCGAGCCGATTTGGCTACCCAGGGCTGTGAGAATTAGTTTAGTGATGCCTTCTGTGCCAAGTGCTTGCACCTCTGAAACATCCCTTTTGTGACGGCAGCGTGGTTAGTCAGAGGTGGCACGGTCTGCCTGCTTGACAGCCGGATCCTGTTCGTCCATCAGAATCTCTCTGGAGTTGAACGGTATTGTGGTACTGTCCAGCCAAGTGGCAAACAGATCTGAACAGAGAGAGTTCTGAATGGTGGTTTTCGAGGGCCGCGACAATTCACGTACATACATAGAGCCGCGAAGCCGCAGGCTTGAACGTGGTGACACCCTTCCGTGCTAGCGTCTCGTTGGCTTGGCTTAGCATGACTGCCCGCCAAAAAGGATCGGACGCTGTTCCCTGACGGCCTCACTGCCTGAGTTTTTGAGGATCATGTTGCTGGAACTTACCTTTGCAGGCTGCCCTTCCATGTCTGACTCTGCGCGTGGGACAGGGTGAGCTGATGCACTTGCAATTACTGTCGAACTGATGGCCGGTGGCTTAGCTCGGAAACCGATGCTGCCGCTGGCAGAGAGAATTCAGCAGTATTCTCACACGTAGTTGAGAGGCTTAGCTCGTTCGAAGTCGTTGAAAAGTCTGTGCTCGCATCTGCTATGCACTGGCTGATCTAGCAGCTGCAGTTCTTTGTCTGCACGGCGAGAGGTTCGAGTTACACCTTGCTGTTTTCTGTTGTGCAGACAGGTTGGCAATCGTCTGTCGGGTGTAATCATGGATGAACAGGCTGCCGATGCGTTTTTTTTACTTCGTGTGCAAAGCTGTTCAATCGACGTCGTTTTCATGACCGACTGCAAGCAGCGGTGTGTTGTCGGATAGTTTTTTCTCTTGGGAGGCCATCCGGTGTGCGATGCAAGAAGCCGGCTTCGCAAGAGTCGAGGCTCTGCTAGTTTTGAAGATTTTTGAAGTTGCAAAGGTCAAGTGGCCTAGATTGGCTGGCACGGTGCATAGCCTGAGTAAACAAGTCAGCTTAGTTGCAAGTTCCTCATGCGTCGTCGCATGCTGCCAGCTCACGGCAGGTTGAAAGTGCAGTCACGGCCGGCTTTGAGAAGCGCAACCTGTCCGGGGCCGGGCTCCCGCAGAAGGGCACCGCATGGAAGTCCGCTTCAGGTCCCAGAAGGGCGCTCTCGGAGGTCAGTCCGCCTCTGCCGGCCTCTTCTCGGCACCGAGCTCGGCAGAGCTCAGGAGACCCGAGCCTGCGCCAAGCCTGCGCCTGTTCTCTGAGGTTCGCGGAGCTGTTTCTGTTGCCCTGGCCTGAGTGGCTTTGATCTGCGGCACGCCAGAGCCGTGTGTGGACTCCTGACAGATCAGCAGCACGAACTTCTTCACGGCCTCCCCCATGGGCGTTCGTGCTGGCCTCGGAGCCGCACCAACCCGGGGTGTCGTGTCGAGTCTTCGTCGTGGCCAGGTGACGGAGTGGACTACATGTATGCTGGTGTGATCCGCTCGATCAACGCGGAGCTGCTGCAGCGCCAGCTTCAGGACTTCTCAGATGGAGTCGCATGCAAAGGCACCTCTGAGACTCTGACCGAGCTTGTGGAGGACGGCGCGATCGTGTCCATGACCTCTCTTGGCTCCAGCCCGGGGGGCGAAGTCTTTTATGTCTCATCTGAGGAGTCGTAGGCCCATCTTCTGAAGTACTCGCAGGGTTTTCCAGCATCCTTGCGCTGCGACAAGAGCAAAGCTTAGGCTGGCTGCCAAAGTGGCCAGCAGACTTCAAGCCATCAAGCTTGTACCGCCCCCACTTCAGACTTTCTCTGCGTCCATGCTTACTGTAAGAGTTACAAGACGACGATGTTGCAGGTCTACATAACCAGAGGGCAGTGCCTTGTGGACAAGCGGCAATCCCGGATCATTGCAGGCCGCCACAGCGGTGTAGCCAGTGGTCCGAGCGCAGGTCTGTCCGTCTATCTGTGTGTCTTTTGTTATGCAGGCTTGGCCCAAGATACACACGTTTCCGCCAGCAATCTTGCGTTGTCAACGATGGAAGAGACCGTCCTGAACCCTAGACCCCAAGCCCTAAACCCCAACCCTAAACATTCCTTTCAAGTACCATTTCGAAACCCTTAAGCTCCACATCCTAAGCCCGAAGAGCAGATAGCCACGGGGGCGGCTCTAAGTGGCTGAAGCCAGTGCCAGCAGTGCCTGGCTTTGCCATGGCACAGTGCCGCATTTGCCTTCAATCGGCAGATCAGGACTCGAGATCTCGGTTTTAGGGTTTGGAGTTTATGGTTTAGGGTTTAGGTCTTTGAGAACAGAGCCGACTGAGTTTTGCATGTCGTGATGCTTGCTCTGACTGACGCATCTGCTCACTTCACTTCTGCTAGTAGGCGCTTGGTGAATTCATCAAGCCTTGCCGGTGCAAAGAGCCTGTTCACCGCAAGTGCCGGCATCTGAGCTGTCTTTGCCCATAGTCACCATAGTCGAAGATCGTCCATTCCTGAGCGCCGGCTCCAAAGTGTTCCGAAGCACAGCCGCCAGGCCTGGACACCTGGCGGGCCTCGGGCATCAACCCGGCCAACATCACGCGCTGCACCTCGGAGCTGCACAGACCGCTCTGCACACGGCATCTGGATGTCAAGTCGATACTGGAACAAGGTGAAGTCTGCCGCTGCCACAGCCAGATCGGGGCCCTTTTGAAGTAAATGCTTCTGTTCTGCACACTCCAGCTCTGAGGCCAGTATCACTATCGCCTGGGCAGAGATGCCCGGCCATGGCATGTTCACATGTTTGTTTATTCCATCGCCCTGGTTCAGAGCCTTGGATGTTTTTGCTATTTTGGAGCGAACCGAGCCGACCAACTTTGTTGAAGTGCAAGACTACATCCAAGGATTTTGCTCTTTCTTGCTCTGTCCGTGGCCTCCGGCTTCATGATCAGAGCGACGAAGTTCGCTGATCTAGTCGACTGGGGCAGGCTGCTTCCTGCACCCTGTTACGACTGATTAGGACGCACCGCCTTACCGACTGGTGATCCTTGTCTCCCTCATGAGATCTTACATTACCTCACTTATTCTCTTCATGTGCACAGATCCGGGCACGCGCCCATTTGATGACCCTTCATCTCTGTCTCCCTCCGTAGTCTCCTCCGGTCGTCCCCTACAGTAGTTCCCTTGTAGTCCCCTGTCCCCTTCTTCTTCCTGACACGTTTGCGTTGTCCTCCTGCCTGCCTGTACCTCAGTAGTACCGTCACGGAAAACAGAGAAGCTCTTTCGATATGGCGACACGACTCTCCTTGAAATTGTGAGGCGTAAATCCTCTTTGTAGGCCGGCAGCCTCCTGTGACCTCTGTCTCCCTCATCCCTTGGGCGTCCGCCTAGTCGCTTGTGAAGCAGATGGTCCCGCGAAGTACCGTGTCGTCGCATGGTGGTGACCCTTTTCTCGACTCACGTACGTTTCTCCAGAGCTCGCTTGAAATCGACATGCTGACATGCCTGCTGATAGGATTGTCGGTTCTCTGTATGTTTCCATCGGTCTCCCTGCATAAGCTGTGCCTTGCAGTCCCAGAGCCACATAGTATGACTCGTTTGATGTGGGGGGCTTCCATTCAACGCCTGCCTTCAAAGTGGCTTTTGCCAGTCACATCAGCACTATGCTGTCCAGCACGAAACCTGTAATTCAATACTTTCCGGCAGTGTTGAGTCCAGGTGCAACATGATTTGGGAGTTTCCGAAAATAGGGGACCCTAATATAGTACCCTAAGTGGTAGGATCCTTATTATAAGGACCCCAAAATAAGTTACCCCTATTTTCGGAAACTCCCATTTTGCATGGTCCTGTTGCACCGGCAGGCTCAGCTTCATGGTGCCGGCCTTCCCCTTGGTTATTCCAGTTCATCCATTTCCCAGCTGTCCTTCGTGATTTTGTTCGGAGTCCTTGTGAACCTGGCATCGACGATCTTAGGACACGGACAGAGGTTGGATCTTCCTCGGATGTTGCTTCAACTTCTTCCTCATTGGTGTTTTTGCCACCGCGATGCTCCTCTACCGGCTGATGCAAAGAAGGCAGCTCAGCGAACTAAGTCATCTAGAGGCCTTACGGCAGGCGATCACTTATGCCATGATGCATCCCCAGGCACAGAAGCCCAGCCGAGTCCTTAGTTGCATGAGCGAGTCGGCTAGTCCGATTCTGTGGGAGGGTCGCGGCCTTCGTGCTCTCAGGCACGACAAGCCGCATTGCAGGCAACTTCGCGACGCAGCACGTGGCTTGACAATGCGCTGCGAACGCGAAACCGGAGCCTCGTTACAAAAAGGGTGCCAAGTTGTCTGTGATGAAACAGCTGTGTTGATCCTGGCCGTCTTCGGGGTCACCTCAGGCGACAGGACTGCTGCGGTGACTGCTGCTATACAGCTGACGACTCATTATGCTTGTGACTCGGAGGCAGATGGGTGGAAGCTTAAGCTTTTGCAGGTTGTGTTTGTAAGACTGGCACGATAGATTTGGGAATCTGCCTGTGCCTGAGTCGAAGTCTTGCAGGCTGACGCTCTAGAAGTCATGGGTAAGCCCATGACAAGCTGTTTCGCGATGCGATCTGCAACATGGGGTCGTGAGCCGAGGTGGTGCTACTATTGCTGTTCCGGTCCAAATTGGTACTGTCCTTTAGAGGCGGGGTGTTCATCCCAGCCTCACCTTTGCAAAGTTTCACCTCCCCCCTAAAGCCTAAACCGTGCCAGGGCTGCTGCTACAGCTGCGACGTTGGAACTGCAAGATGCTTCGATGCTTGTGAATGCTGCAGAGGAGGATCTGGTGGTGGAGGCACAGACTGGATCAGGTTCAAGCACATCAACCACTGATTTTGCACAACATAGTCTGGTTGACGTAATCTGAGAATGTTTTGCGATCCAGCGGGTTGTTGGGTCAAATTACGGATTCTTGGCAACCATGTAACGTCTCTACGAGATTTTTGCATCTCCACTTTCCGCCAGCATGCTCCAGAGAGCACTGAAGCCAGTGGAAGGCTTCTTTAATTTTATGTGACGTTTCGGCTGGCTGCTGTTGAAAGCTGTTGTTGCAAGTCCGCTGCCGACCCGTTGATACTTGAAACTGTCGCACATGGCCGGGAAGCTCGGACACATCATGACATGTCGCCTCGGACAATAAGTATAGCCTCTTTGCATGCTCGAGATCAGTAGAGAAGTTTTGCATCAATCGGCCTTTGTTTGAACAAGTCTCGTGTTGAAACCCACCGAAGCCGTGAGGGGACTCCCAGCATCGGAAATGGAGCCCCTGGAGACTGAAAGGATCAAGGGCTGGCAAATCACGCCCCAAACCAAACAGCTTGAACTCCGATGATGTATGCTGGTGTTCGATTGCATCGTGGCAATGGCTGTGGCCCAACAGCTTGCCTTTCGCGTGTCCACTGCAAGCGTGTGGCTGGATGTGTAGGTCTCGTGCATCCAGCTCAGCACACACTTGACTGCATGTACCGAGGCCAACGCTGAACACCGATGCCCCTCGTTGAGAAGAGTTGAAAACCTCGTCACCACCGTTGTCACCGTGTCTGTTTGGTTGAATGCCTGGCCGTGCAGGAGGATCTTGCGACTGTTGTGACTGCGGAAGCTGTGGCTGCGATGGAGCGCACTGGTCTTGAGCCAGTTGGTGGTTTAGGGCCGCACACGACAATGATGCTCCTGCCATTGTGGTCATTTTTTGTGCAGGAGATGCCGGCCCTTTTGCCGTCATTCTGGCAGCGATTGCTGCAGCCTCCACCTCATTGGCCGTCCCATGCAGTGATGTACTTCACGCAACCGCAGTGGTGTTTCGCATTTATTTTCTCAGCAATCGGGTTGCTGCGTACAAGTTGCTCTTGCCCGTGCTACCCGCTTTGTTGCTTTGCCATGTGTAGTGAGCGATGTCGGTAGGGGTGTGTTCGCGGGCGTGCCTGGCTTGGCAAACACAGCTCGCGGTGGTGTCTCAGCAGTCAAGACTGCCGAGGTGCTGCAGAGGGCTTTTGATCTGCTTGGCGAAGCGTCCTAACCACCCTTGAAGCGCAACTCATTGACACCGCATTGCAACAAGCACAGGTCGCTGACAACAAGCTAGAGCATGACCATAGCAGTCTTGGTCGTCTTCCTCCTCGTCGTTGTCGTCGTCGTCGTCGTGTGATATGCGGGCGGGTGGTCGCACCTCGCAGACGCTCCCTCCCATTTGACAGCATAGCTTTTTTGTCATGACTGCCCCTGACCCAATGCAGTAGAGGCTGTGCAGCGGAACAAACAAGTCCATCTTCCCAAGATCTCTGACTTGACTCTATACGGAAACTGAGGCGGTTGCAATTATTCTACTCGCGATTGGCATGTTTGTGTTTTTCTGGGTCATCTTCTACAATGTGCAGCAGGCCCAGTCCATCTCAAGCGCACAGAGTACTTAAACTAGTGTCATCTTACACGCAGACGGTTGACGAGCTGGCCAGTGTCATGAGCGGCTGAGGTTCAGTGGCATTTGCATGAACCATACCTTCCTGCACTCCACGGCAGCTGAAAGGTCCAGGGGCTGCGAAACGATTCGCATCTGTTTTCTGGTGAGCTGATGTGAGCAGGTACCACGTTCTTCCCTATGACGTTGCGCATGATCCATCGGTCCGGAAAACTGCCACGCCGGACGGATGCCTCAGTTTGCAGACTTGCGATTGCTGCTGCGGACCGTGCCGTCGCCTCTCTGCTGCTGTTGGAGGAAACCGCGTGGCCAATTGAGTCTGTGGCACCGCCGATTCAGCAGGCGGTCTCTGCTGGTTGAAGTTCTTGCTTTTCGGATGTTGTCAGCACTGTGCATATTGCACTGACAGGGCATGCATCCTGATGTGGAGAACGCGAGAGTCGTCGGCAAGGCGGACGCGGAAGTGATCGCCTAAGCCGGCTGGGTGCAAAGCACTCCGATGCACTCATGTACAGGCACCGGCTGCAGGCTTTGCACAGATCCCAGTAAGGATGTACCGTAAGACGTAGATGTGGTTGTCGCCTATTGCAGGCCTTGTATTGTGAAGCTTGCGACACTCGATCCCAATGGAGGTGTCGCAGTGCATCCCTGAGAACCCTCCAAATACATACACGCGACAAAACAAAATTTGATTCGTGCGAGACCAGGGCAGATTGGCAAGTTTGTCCAGAATCGCAGCTGGTAGCCTGGACGGCTTGGACAGGTATGCAGGCGCACGATGCTCGCCAGCTGTTGAAGCACCTGGAATCTCCAGCTGAAGGCTCCTACACCGAAGAGGCTCGCTGATGCCACGCCTACGGACGAGCAACGAGCCTTGCGCAGATTTGCAGATGCCAACAGGAGCAGCAGTCCGATTGGTTTTGCGACTTCGTTCGGAGCCTGAGGCCAGACTGTCGTGTCTGCATTGCAGCAAGCCGAAGCCTTTCCAAGCTCATTGCAACAACAGGGGACCTCTTAGACGATCTTGCCGTCGCCGGTACTCTGCTCGGGTTCAGAGTAAAGCCGGCGAGAGGTTTGGGGGGATACAGACATCGAAGCCGGGTGCGAGTTTGGCGGATGAGACTGGGGGCAGCGCCACGGATCGGGTTCATGAAGTCCGAAGCCATGACGGCGATAGGCCAAAGAGGCCCCAGCTTTTCGCGCAGCCAGTGTCCGACAGGCTGCTGGTTTCTTCGGCTTGGCACTAAGACCTGCCTTGGATGGCTCCGGCGAGTCGCAGAGCAGACTGAAGCGAGGTCTCACCCAAAGGAGTGCGCTGCCTCCTCGGGTCTCCAATAAAACCTCCCAAGATGCGAAGTTTGTTTTCGCAAGGTCGAGGACACCTGGTCGCAGCTTTTCCCGGCTCGTTGCTGCAAGAGCTGGGCTCCGAGTGCAGTTGGGGCACGCACTCCTGGAATGCTTTAGCGGATCCGTGCGCCAGGTTCTACACGACGGATGGAAGCGGCACTTGTGTGGCCCAGGCAAAGGGCAAAGCAAAGCAAGACGAGCTCGAGGCAGCTCGACTGCCTTAGCCGGGAGCCTGTGCGTCTCAGGATGTTTACCAGGGCCTTGGCTGCGCAACCCGGGCGGACACGTCCTCCATCCTGGCCGGGCTCAGTTCGGGCTGCAGGGAAAACGCTTCCTCTGCGTCTGCCAGGAACTCCTGGGAGCAGATTCGGAGGAGCCTGTGGAGTCGGAGGCGGTAGAGGCCAAAAGCGATCAGATGTGGCCTTCCACTAAACTTCAAAAGAATCTCATGCCACGGCAAGGCCAGCTGTGCGGCGGCAGAGTTCTTTGTCTGGCGTCGTGATGAGGTGAGGGTCTGTGTGCTGGAATCTTCTGGAGTCCAGTGGCCAGCGCGGTTGTCGGCAAGGTGGTGCTGGGATGCGGGCAGCTCGTGGCGCACTCGGTGCAGGAGTCGGGCAAGGCGGGCCCGGAAAGATGACTGCTGCGAGTCAACGTTGCAGCTCATGACACATCCCCCAACGTAAACGGCATTGTGCCCGGAGGCCTGCATCGTTCGCAGACTCATAGACCCCCTCTCTTTGGCGTGGTTAGTTCTTTGGTGCATGCTACACGCCCCGCTGTCAGCTGTCATGTCCACTTTCTCATCTCACTTGACCTCTGCGAAAACGCCGGAGGTGGTCGCTGAGCTGAGACACTTGTCCTGCGCCTTGGGAGCCACGGCCCTGGCTTTGAGCCTCGGGGCCTTGGGCACTCGTGGCACTTGCGCTCGTCTCCTTGCATTGTCCTTGGCCTTGAGACCTTCGTGGCCAATGCCCCCGCGCTCTTCGCATACGCGGAGCGAGCCGCCGTTCTCGGCGGCGCGCCGCTGATGGCCGTGAGGCGGTCGCAGGCTTGGGCAGTTGATGCTCTCGCTCTCTCGCTCTGGCTCTCTCTCGCGTCTCTCTCTGTCTCTCTCCGTCTCTCTCCGTCTCTCTCTCTGCCTCGCTGTCTCTCTTCCTCTCTCTCTCTCTCTCTTGTGTGTGTTTTGTTTGTTCTTTTCTCTCCAGTCTCCCACTCATAAAGAGTACTCCATATCACGAGCATTTTCACGCCGCTTGCAGGCAGCTGTTGTAAGAACGTGTGGAGAGCTGCACGCCTCACTTCCTGCGAGGATGCGTCGTGCCGCGCTTTCGGCACGGCGTCTATTGCAGACGTCCAGTATTGGGCTGCGTCTCACAGTACTGCCGGTATGCTCGCTGCCACATGAGCATTTTAGCAGCCGCACTTCCTGCAGGCAGCTGTTACAAGAACGTGTGGAATACTGCGTGCCTCACTTGCTGCGAAGATGCATCGTGCCGTGCTTCCGGCACGGTGTATATTGCACAAGTCCAGCTTGTTCGGCTGTTTCTCCGGTACGTTTCGTTTTGTCTGGCTCTTGTCGCCGGCACGCTCGTTGCCGCATGAGCATTTTAGCAGCCGCACCTCTTGCAGGCAGCTGTTATAAGAACGTGTGGAATACTGTGCGCCGCACTTGCCGCGAAGATGCATCGTGCCGTGCTGCCGGCACGGTGTATATTGCACAAGTCCAGCTTGTACACCAGTTTCTCCGGTACGTTTGGTTTCGTCGCCGGCATGCTCGCTGCCACATGAGCATTTTAGCAGCCGCACCTCCTGCAGGCAGCTGTTATAAGAACGTGTGGAATACTGCGTGCCGCACTTGCTGCGAAGATGCATCGTGCCGTGCTTCCGGCACGGTGTATATTGCACAAGTCCAGCTTGTTCGGTACGTTTGGTTTTGTCTGGCTCTTGTCGCCGGCACGCTCGTTGCCGCATGAGCATTTTGGCAGCCGCACCTCCTGCAGGCAGCTGTCATAAGAACGTGCGGCAATACTGTACGCCGCACTTGCTGCGAAGATGCATCGTGCCGTGCGGTGTATAGTGCACAGTCCAGCTTGTACAGCAGTTTCTCCGGCACGTTGGGTTTCGCCTCCGACTACTCGTCAGCTCACGCCGAATGCAGCAAGCACAGCAAGCACTGTCATTGTCCAGGACCCAGAAAGGAATGCCTGGTTTGCCAGCCGTGGCTTCAAGGAGCCGTCCGAATCGCAATCCGCAGCGGCCACGGATGATTTTTCTCGGTTTCTGGCCCGGAGCTGGTGCTGTTGCTGAGGCCCTGCTGCCCCAATCCTTGCGTGGCCCGGGGATTTTCGTGAAGCGCCTTGGGGAGACATCAGAAAAAGAGGCTTGCAGAGCTGATGGAATCTACTTTACCAGTGCCTTCAAAACTTCCGGAGGCGGAGGAAGCCATCGCAGCGTATGCAGAGGAGCCGAATGCACCATGGTTCCTGCGTCGGACTCGAGATTCTGGCAGCTGTGTCACTGAAGTTCTAGATGCAACTCTATCCGTCTTGTGCATGGCTGCATGTTGACCCACTCGAACCCTTGTCCACTGAACGCTTCTACTGCGACTACCTGCGTGGTGCCACGGTATGTGAAGTGCCCGGGACTCCCGTCACCAGCACAAGATTTTGCGTTGCAGCAGGAGCAGCGAATGTGGGGTGGCATGGTTTAACCGTCGCGTGAAAACAGTGGGCTGGTCTTCAGAGAGTGACCGCGCCCCAGGGATGGAAGGTACTGTAGGGAAAACCAGAAGCAGGTGCCTGTATGTGTGCTTATGCATGCCTATACCAGCCTATACAGCAGTTGCATATGCACAAACATGCATCCACCGCGATACGGTTCTGTTCTATCTTGTGTGCTTTATCTCGTCCTTTCGATGGTAACTTGTGCTAATTTCTCAAGTAATTAACTCGCCCGCTTAAACTTCTACCAAACATGAGTGCCATGTCAGGTTGGAGCTGCTTTCGTGGCGTAGTGCAAATAATACAGCTTATCATACTGCAATAGTTCCAGTCATCGAGCACACTTACAGGCACATGCACGCATGTAGATGTAGGCGTACATATGCAGAACAACAGTATGAGCGTTTGATAGCATTTTTTGTGCATGTATATGTACATGTATGTGTACATGTATATATGTTATGTATATGTATATGGCCATATACATATCACGAGTATGCGTTCGTGTTTATGCATGCATGTACATGTAGATACGTGTGCCTGTGTAAGCACATACGATAATCAAACATATTTCTACATACGTACGTTCTGCAGGTGCAGATGTACGTACACATACACAGACATGGACATAGACATGGTATCTACATAAACATATACATACACCGGAACACTAACGCGTCTTTCCCACACACACACACACACACACACAGGTGCACTCACAATCATGTAATCATGCTCTCTTTTTTTTTCTTCTCTCTCTCTCTCTCCCTATTACATGCCATGTATGCACGTATGTATGTATGTATGTGCGTATGTATGTAGGCACGGTATGTATGTAGACATGTAGGTATGTAGGTATGTACAAGCGTATACGTGCAATGTATCTGTACAAATCTGGGTGTGCGCCAGAGAGTACACTAGCACGCGTTTGTTCAGGCGTGCACGCATGTACGTATGCATATATTTCTTTTGCTCTCTCTTCTCAAGCCCGTTCTGCCAGATGCTCGAGGGCTTGACAGTTTGAAGAAGGGAAGTCCAAGGGACGTTTCTGCAAATGCTGCGTGGAAAACATTGTGGCTCAATCTTTGACAAGCTTCTGTCCATGCATTCAAGACGACCCATGGCAGCAAAAAGCTGCTGTCAAATTGCTGTCGTGGCTGGCAAGTACTTTCGTTTCAATCTCAGCTTGAATCCAAGGCCTTTTTCTCCATTTCCGCCGGGCGTGACTTTCTCCAGAATAGGTTGGCCCCTGATTTGTTCGGTGACTGACCATGACATGCTTTATCGGCCAGCAGACCGCAGACGGTGGGGCCAGGCAGTCTGTCCTTTTATGTCGTGAAGCTGAGGATATGGTGTGTGCATCGAAGATGCCATCTCCTTCACGTCGGTTGTCCACACTTTTGCTGGCACTGCTGGGGCCCGCAGTAGCATCACCTTCATCGTCTCAGGCGCGGAGAATCGCGGAGAAGCTTGGGGAACTGGATTTGTCGGATCGAAGGCACCATAAACAACGACAGTTTCGCAGCCTCGGTGCAGGATAAGCCCCCAGCAGCGGTGCAGTCAGTGGAAAAGCGACAGAAGCCTCGATCCGTCTCGCATGGCCTCACAGTGCTGTGCTGAGACGGCCCTATCTGTGGTGAGAAGTATACGGTGATTAGTCCCAAGTCCCAACGTCGGGCTCAGGCCGTTGGCTTGCCGATGCCATGGGGCGCGGCGACGCCGACGTCCAGTGTGGTGCAAGGGCAGCTGGCTGGACCCTTGGAGATGTAGAGCCCTTTGTTGAGGCTACGGCTATGATCAAAGCATGTCATTCCTCCAAAGGCCCCTGCGATGCATGCCACCGGCCAAGCCACAAGCAGCCTTTGGGCTTGCATAGTCGCAGGCGCGACGGCAACAGAAAGAGGGTGTGGAGGTTATTCGGACGCACGTCGGAGTTCTTGGGATTTTAGCAGGTGCTGGAGCTGTGGGCCACAACATCCGCCAGCAGAACCGTGAGCCACGGCGACAACGGCACGGCCGTCGTGGCCCATCCAGGTGCTCAGAGTAGGCTCTTCAGGTTCAAGAGGACTAGGGCCGAGCTTGGGAGGCAAACCACGGCAGCAAGTACAACGAGCGTCGTGGAAGTCGAGCAGCTTCAGTGCCTTGGCTCGAGCTCGGAGCAAAAGCAACGGCACGACTAGTTAATTTCTCCGTAGGGGTTAAGGATTTGGGTTTGCTGCGGTTCGATACAACTTGGTGCAATCACATTGATTGGACGGTCATTCAAGGTATTTCATAGGGGGGCACCAGAGCAACCCCCATAATTAGTGGATACAGCTCGACGAGAAGAATCATGCCGTGTGGGGAAGGCACAGCTGAGTGGGGTGGGGGCTGGCCCAATGGCCCAATGGTTTCTTTTCTGATCTGCAAAGCCATTCGAAGAAGCATAATCGAAACCAAAGCGTGGGGCAGTTGGGGTGACGGGGCGGTAGGGGGGCGGTGGGTGGGGGGGGGGGGCGGGGCGGGAGGGCGGAGGAGTTTGGGCCGGGGGGTTGAGAGCGGTCTGAAATTGATTTCGCAGGGCACAGGGCACGGTGCGGCACGGCACACCGCCACCAGCAAAGTGCGGTAGTAGTGGTGGTAGTAGTACTGTAGTAGCGGTAAAAGCAGTAGTAGTAGTGGTGGTGTTTTGGTGTTGCAAGGCACATCGAACATTGGCGGCGGGGCGGTCGCTGCGGGGGGATGAAGATTGAAGTTGAAATTGGACTTGCGCCTGCCGAGCCGGCCGTCGGTCAAATCACCTACAATCAGCAGTCGCGAGTCGTGAGTCGTGAGTGTTGTGAGCTGGGAAGCCTGTTGAGCTTGAGCGTATTGGGGGGCCTGGGCGCCTGTCGACCCGCTCGGCTCGGCCCGGCCGGCCTGGCTGAGTGATTCGAGTGATTGATTTTACAGGTCGAGTCGTGTCATGTGAGCCATGTGTGCAGCAGCAGAGTCTAGATTCCAGACGATCTTGCAGAATCTTTCATATTTTTGCCGCAGCGCTGGGACGGACCACGCCATGACATGACATGTGAACAATGTGAACTCTGAACAGCAGCAGAATCAGCAGAAGTTGATAGGCATTCCGTTCAGTAGAATTCCAATTGCAGTATTTGACTGACTGACAGTGCAGTTGAGCAATTGTCCTTTTGCATTTCCACTTTCTCCAGTTTCAATTTCAGTTGTTAATTTCATAATTTCATTTCAAGTAGCAGTACGGAGCAAAACTAGCAAAGATGCCTAAGAAGGCTGAAGGCTCGGCGGCGGTTAGTCATGTCACATTCATAGACTCATAGATTCGCGAAAACTGAAATTCAACAGTAGGTGACAGTGACTGGAGAAGAAGACTCGACAATGGCAGTGTGAGTGTCAGCAGTGCAGTGCCGACTAACCAGCCGGCAGCTTCACTGCTGATTCCCTTGAGCTTGAGTGCGTGAGCCGTGAGCCTTGCTCACAGTGTAGTGGATGAGGCTGAGCACAGTCGTGGCTCTGTCGCTGTGGTTTCTTGGCTTCTTGCACTTTCTTGCAATGCTGCAAGTGCAACCCGAGCGTCAGAGAAGGCTTGTTTGGCTGGCTGCTCAAAGCGAGGCAGCCGTGCGTTCAAACAAGGTACAGGTCCCGAGTGATGCGAGAGCGTTTCTTGCGGCTAAATTTCGGGGATTGTTGCAACACGTGCCAGCTCTTGCAACCACACTTGAATCATTCACGAAACACACTGCAAGTGTAAAAGCTGCTTCTGAAGCTCCGGCTGAGGGCTCAGCCTCAGCCTCAGCATCGCGTGATGCTCCTTTCGTAAAGGATGAGTACCACAGAACTGTCGATGCTGTGTGTCAGTATGGTAGCCAGAAAATTTTGGGGTTGGCCATCGTAGAGGTTGGCATAGTTTGCCAAGGTCTTTTGTCTGCGTTGGATGTGGAGCAACGCTCTTTGCTTCAGTGCGCAGTAGATGCCTCGAGACGTGTTGGCAGCGTTTTCCTTCGCATTGTGCATGCGTTACCGCTTGCAGAGCCAGCGCAAGCTATCGTATCTGGTTGCAAATCATACGGGAACCAGAGAAGCTTTACAGTGACAGCCCAATGCATCGAGCACTTGTTGGAGCGCCCAGTCTTCGATGTTGATTTTGTTCAGAGTCAGAGCATCACCGAGGAAATTGATAATTGGATGTATCAGGATTGCAACAACGACGTTTGCCTGGAAGAACTCTCGGAGGCCGATGCGGGCCCGCCATGTGCTGTGGTTGCAGCTCCAGTCCTTGCATTGTTGGCATCCCACGGATGCATTCAGCACTTGGTGTTTCCTGCAAACTGCCGTTTTGCTCCTCACCGGTACTTAGATCCCATGACAATCAAGATCCGCGACTTGAGCAACAACTTTGAACAAATGATTGCACACGGAGGCTCCCATCAGCTTGATAAAAAAACGGCTCAAGAGTTGGAGGCTGAATGTATCAGCTTGGCAGAAGGCGGTTTAGACCGTGACATGCTGTTCAGTATCAGCAACACTCTTCGCGAGCACATCGCACTTGTGAGTGCCGCTCCGACCGCTCCTGGAGCCGCTCCTGTGCCTCGCGATCTCGAGGCAGACCTAGGTTTACAGCGGCAGGTCGTGTGGCTCGAAGGCTTGTTGAGGTCTACTGGCAAGGAGCAGGTTGCCAGATCCCGTTTGCAGCCGAGCACTAAGGGTTTTCAAGGTGTCTGGGATAATGAAATGGGGTGTAGGGTAACTTATAAGCCAGCCTTCTTGTTACAATGTGTCGTTCTCTCGTTCAACTTGCGGAGCTCTGAAGCACTACCCGACGTCATCAATGCATCCTTGCAGTGCCTCCCAGATTTCTGGAAGGAATCCTTGAAAAGTTTGCTTGCTTCAGCCCAGACCCCAAGCCCCAGTACAATGTCACGTGCTAGACTTTCGGTAGATGTTGGTTTCATGCTGTTCATGCGAAACAGGCATTCGAAGCTTCTACAAGATCCCA